TCTGGATGGAATTTTTTAGTTTCTCCTTTGAACTTAACAACAATTAATGGTTTATCATCTGCTCCAGCTTCTACTTTGAATGGCCATAGCTTCACATCCTTTTATACTGTTGGATCATTAAATTTCCTTCCAATCAATCTCTTTGCATCAAATACTGTATTTTATGGGTTTCTTGCTACTTAATTCTTCGCAGCATCTCCAATTAGTCTTTCATTATCTGAAAAAGCAACATAAGATGGAGTAGTTCTATTTCCTTGATCATTTGCTATAATTTCAACTTTATCATTAATAAAAACACCTACACATGAATATGTAGTTCCTAAATCTATTCCAATTGCAATATCTGTTTATTTTGACATTATTTTATTAGCTTCTTTACTTGTTTGATTAATTAAATGATTGTTCCTCTTCTTCAACAACTTTTAAATCAAAAGATAGAAAAATCTAGAAATTTATAATTCTCTAGAACTTTCTGGAAAATTATAATAATTCTGATAATTACTTTTAAAATATTAATTTATTAAAATAAATAACTATCATTAGTTACACAAAAAATCCTCCCCCAAAGTATTATTAGTTTTCTCCTTTCTCATTAATTTAACATTTTAAGTAAATCAACATTTTTTATAAACTAATGAGTATCAATATTAAATTCACTAAGGCATATATTTATTAAAATAATATATATTTATTTCAATAAGCAAATTTTGTCGTTTTTCTATTCTCATTTCAATTAGATATTATATATTTTAGACATTTAAATAATAAAAATATATAGATATAAATAAAAAATAATTTTAGATCATTAGCAAGCAACCTAAGATAAATTTTTCCTTCTCTTTGTTTATTTGAAATTTAACAATTGATTTGATTATCTTTTTATATATTTAGAATAATATTTATATAAAATAGATAGTTATTTTATGTAAATTGGAAAATTTTAATTAAATCATTTGGTTGAAAAAAATAATGAATGTATATTTAAGAGAGGCAGCTGATAAGAGAACAAATTCATCACAATACAATTGAATCGTGTGATGAATTAAAATATATTGTAGTAACCATTACTGAAGGTTGATTTGTAACACAAAAATTTCTAAGAAGAACTTAATATGTTATTTAAGAACTCTAGAAAGCCAACACTAATACCTAAAGATTTCCATTCAAGATACCTGAATCTGAGGGATTCGATTCAGAGTTAATTGAATTTCCATCAATAATTGAAATAAATCAGACATACACAACTAATATTTTATAATAGAACATATTTGCAGATTTATACACTTTATAATTATTACTATTAAGAATACTAAGAAAGAAGAATAAAAGATAGAGATTTCGCATTAATTAGAATTTTCAGAAGCGAACATAAATTGACATTAATAGACTTTGGCTTTACATATTTATAAAAATAATTACCTAAAAAACCTTGGTAAGTCAAATTAGGTGAACTCTTCAGTCGTTTATCACAATCAGAAGCTAAATAAATGGACAGAATGTGATTAATACTTTGTTGGCTGGTAAAATAAAATGGGAAGAAGTCAGAGATTTTATTTCCATATATTTTGATTTGAATGAAATAGATTAATCCTGGTTAGAAAATTATAGTGACAGAAATAGTAAAATAACAAGATCAAATTCAATTTATGCAAAATAGTAAACATAGACATTAAGTATGATTCCATAAGAAATTATTACTTTGAATTAAAATTCCGTTAGAAAAGCATCTCTTTATGAAAATAGTCATAAATAAAATTCTAGAAATTCTACTTTAATGTAAACTAGAATTATATCTTTTGGCAATTAATAAATAGAGCATTTCTAAAAATTAGATAATCTTTAAGTCCTGGATTTAGTACAACAAATAGATATTGTAGATTGTTTTAAATTGATTAGATTTGTATCAAGAAAAGCTTAGTACTTGAGCAATTATGAAAAATAAAGGATTACTAAACCTCTAGAAAATTAGTTTGAATAAAAAAACGAATCCAGTCCTAGAAAAGATTCTTAAAATTAATTAAAATAGTATAATAATTGATAGGAGATCGATATTAACCAATGAAAGAATAATAGAAATAAATATAAAGAAAATTAACATCAATAACAACAAATTAATCCTAATACGAATAATCTTCTTATGCGCCAACCTTAATTTAAAGAGGTCAATCTTTAAATGAATAATAAGATTATTAAGTAAATTAAAAAAATCAAGATTTACGACTTAAATCAAGTAAAATTCAAGATTAAAAATAAGAATATAAAAGTCTTCGTAGAGCCTCTACCAGAGAATTATAATAACCTAAATAAATTCAAAAGAAATCAATATGAGAATAGTCAGCCAATAGAACCATAAATTACTCTGATACTTAATCTTTGTTTGATAATTTGGGGGTTGAGTAAATTAGAAAACCTTAATCAAGAAGAAATTTCTCCAGAAAAAATAGCAATAATAGCATTGAAAATATAGAGGTAAGAAAAGGTGGTGAATTTATTCAATATAGATTAAATAATAATAATAATTTACAAAATAATCGGTATTTATTTAAAACACCAAGGGATTCAAGGTAAATGCAATATTCTTTCTAAAATTCACCAATTGAGAATCCATATTAAAAAAAATAAAATCCAACAATTATTTAATATCAAATAGAATTGACAGATAAAAATGAAATTCCTTCATTTTGTTAAGATAAATAATCAATGAAAAATCACAAAGACGTCTCACAATAATAATGGAAAACTATAAATGAAGATTAAATAATTAATTAAGATTAACGAGCCGTTGTTGAATCTGTTGATGAATATTATAAATAAACGAGAATAAATAAATAAAATTTATTCAGATTGCCTCTAACTTCAAAAACTGATAAAATAGCAAAAGAGTAAGGTAAAATTGAATTGTAGCAAAATAATTATTTAAAAGATAACTATCAAAAACAATTTAAAGATAATAATTCAAAAGAGAGTGAAATGCAAATATATTATAAAAAATTGAAGATACTCCGAAATCAACAAAAGAGTCGATCTATAAGTAGTTCATCAAAACATTAAAGAAATAAAGGTAAAATTAAATGAAAATGAAGCAACTAGAATAGCTTAAATCTATGAAAATTAATTAAAGTAGTAAGTATGATTTAATTGGTAATATGGTAGGAGGAAATGTAAATTATTTTAAGCTTTCAAAATAATTTTTCGATAATTCCATTATTCCTTTGCTTTAAAAGAATGGTAAGTTTTAGAAAACTTTATGAAGGAGGACTAAAAGAGAAAGTTAACTTTTTTGATTTAGATATAGATAAAGTGAATTAAGTAGAAAAAATAAGAAATTTAGAACTAATGCTAAGAGATGGTAGTAAAATAGTTTTATAGGAATTAGAAACCTTACACACCTAGTGTTAAAATTAGCATAAAAATTTTAGACAAAAGTAAAATATAGATTTAAATTCATAATAGGAATAAACTAAAATATAAAAGTTTTTAAATGTGGATTTGTAGTAGGATATTAAGGAAATTTATTTTATACACTTGTATTCTTAGATTTTTAAAACATTATAAAATTAAAAAATGAAATTAGAATCTGATAAATAAAAAACAAAAGAGAATTTAATGTTATAAGCTATTTGTTTAGCTTCACTCATCATAAGTGAAATGCCTTTCAGTAGGGATAAAAAATTCTTTGATCTTGAAGAATTTGAAAAAGTGACTGAGAACTCAAAATATAGTTAATAATCTTTAGAACAATATATAAAAACAAAGGATGAAATGATTGGTCATTTAAATGAAAGATTGAATTCTTAAGGGGTTAAGATTTGAATAATTATTTAATTATTTGAATAATTATTTAATTATTTATTGTTCTATACATTTCTAAATAAATGTATGAGCAATGGATCCAAATATTAATTTAGAATTTTTGCTTAAATAATTGAATGTTTAATATATTCTTAAGTTGCTAATTAATTGAATAAAACATAAATTTTTTTAATAAAGGTTAATAATAATTTCTGCTAATATGAACTATCCTTATGGTTAATAGATGGGGTAATATGCCTATGATCCAAACATGAATATGGTAAGTTAATATTTTATGTTAGATGGGCTTTGATCCTTAAATGTATTAAGAATACGCTTATTTTTATTTCGGAGGACCTTCTACTCCTCCTCCTCCTAAAGGACCTTACCCAGGTATTACTCATGAAGATTATGAATCTTTTGATATAAATAAACAAATTTTGTTCTAAAGATTTTTAGGTGAGACAGCAGCCTATTATTCTAAACATTTACCAAAATATTAAAAAGAGATGGAGGAGTTTTTAATTACAAATACTGCTTATCAAATGAATGAATCAGAGAAATAACTGATGCAAAATTACCTTGATTATAAGAAAAAAGAAAAAGAGTATGAATCATTTCTTAAATAATTGGAATAAGCATCCCAACCATTGAATTCAGAATTGGAACAATAAAAAATATTAGAATAATAAAAATTAGAATAACAAAAGCTTGAATAATAAAAGTTAGAAGAATAAAAAAAGTAACAGTAATTAGAATAATAAAAATTACAATAACAATAATAATAATAATAACAAGAATAACCTAAAGAAGGAACAACAACTACAACTAGACCAAAAAGAAAGTTGAATTTAAATGCAAAACCATTAGAAATAGCTGTGAATCCTCCTAAAATGCCAATTTTTCCAAAATAACCAGATTTTTTGGATTTTGATAAATTTTGGAATAATTATTCAGCATATATAAGTTTTTATAATCCAAGTTGTGAAGATGAATATAAAAATTATCCAAAACCAGAATAATAAAAGAAAAAAGAAGCAGACGAAGAAGCTAAGAGAAAGAAGAAATAAGAAGAAATAGAGAGAGCAATTTAAAGTAAAAATAATATTAATAATTTTAGAACGCAAAGATGCTGAATAGAGAGCAAAAGATAAACCTGCTTAAACTTTGAATCTAGTAGAATAAGTAGTAAAATTAGAAGGAGAAGTGGATTTATAGAAATATGTAGATGTATAAAATAATAAATAAACTTAGCCTGATGAAACAAGATAACCAGTTAATTTAGTATTTATTGGTCATGTAGATGCTGGTAAATCTACACTTTGTGGAAGATTATTATTAGAATTAGGAGAAGTAAGTGAAGCAGATGTTAAAAAATATGAATAAGAAGCTGTTTAAAATAATAGAGATTCTTGGTGGTTAGCATATGTGATGGATTAAAATGAAGAAGAAAAATAAAAAGGAAAAACAGTTGAATGTGGAAAAGCATAATTTGTTACTAAATAAAAAAGATTTATTCTTGCTGATGCTCCAGGACATAAAAACTATGTTCCAAACATGATTATGGGAGCATGTTAAGCTGATTTAGCTGGTTTAATAGTATCAGCTAAGACAGGAGAATTTGAATCAGGTTTTGAAAAAGGAGGTTAAACCTAAGAACATGCATTATTAGCAAAAAGTTTAGGTGTTGATCATATTATCATTATTATTACTAAAATGGATACTATTGATTGGAATTAAGATAGATTTAATATGATATCATAAAATATCTAAGAATTTGTTCTTAAATAGTGTAAATTTGATAATGTTTATGTTATTCCGATCGATGCATTATCTGGATCTAATATTAAAAATAAAGTAGAAGAAACAAAATGTAATTGGTATAAAGGTCCTTCACTAATTGATTTAATTGATACTGTATCTATACCAAAAAGAAATGAAGAAGGCCCTATTAGAATGCCAATATTAGATAAATTTAAAGATTTGGGATCATTATACATTTATGGTAAGTTAGAATCTGGTAAAATTATTGAAGGATTAGATGTTTCAATTTATCCAAAGAAACAACCTTTCTAGATTGTAGAATTATATAATATGAAAGATTAGAAGATGAAATATGCGAAGGCAGGTGAAAATATTAAAATTAAAGTTAAAAATATTGAAGAAGAAGATATTAAAAGGGGATTTATGATGTGCAATTTAACATCTAATCCATGCTTAGTGTCTTAAGAATTCTAAGCCAAAATAAGATTATTAGATTTACCAGAAAGCAGAAGAATATTTTCAGAAGGATATTAATGCATCATGCATCTTCATTCAGCAGTTGAAGAGATTGAAGTTTCTTGTGTTGAAGCAGTTATAGATGCTGAAACTAAGAAAACTATTAAATAAAATTTCCTCAAATCATTTAACGAAGGTATAGCTAAAATATCTGTAAAATATATTTAATAAATTAGATTAAAAATCCAGTTTGTATGGAAAAATACGAAACAATTACTCAATTAGGTCGATTTGCTTTAAGAGATGATGGAAAGTATATATATGTTAATAATAACTTTAGAACTATCGGATTCGGCGAAATTTTGAAAGTTAAACCAGTTAAAATAGGTTGATTGATTTTTTATTTTTAAAAAGTACATTTGTAAACAATAATTTTATCAATTTTCTAATCTATTAAGTAAACATGATTCTTTTATATATTTTATTTAAGATTATTGAAAATAATTTATGAATTATCTTATGATTTCAATTAAACTAATAATCATATAAATGATGAAGAAAGTGTGAATAAAGGTGTAGAAAAAAATAACAAAAAAATATCGATACCTTGAAAAATAAAGCAATTAAATTTTAGGAAAAAAAAATGCCTAACAAAATATCAATTTAATCGTTCTCAAAATTTGCTTAAACTAGGCAATAAATTTTTTTACTATATTTTGACATTCTAGCAAACAATATATAAAATATTTATGGAAGTTATTTAAATTACAAACATTCATTATATGAATTCTTTATGGCTGACATATATGTAATTGTATAGTTAAAAATCATAAGAACACTTGTAAAACTTTATAAAAGAAAGGAATAATTAAGTTAATACTACGTCCAGAGCTACTTATTCAATTTAGATGTAATTCTTTCGACTTTTCATTATTATTTATGAATAAAAAAAAAGGATTGTATTGTTCACCATGCTAGAGGATTATTTAATTATAATAGTCTTCAGAAACTTGGAGTAATTAAATCAATGAAAATCTGTTATATAACCATTTCGATGTAAATAATAATTTGCAATATTATTATGAAATTTTTAAGATATTTTCAGGAAGATATAGAATGGTTGGATATACTATTGTAATTAGCAAATAAAATATTTTTGATGCAATATTAAAATTCAAATTAATAATTTATTGATATAAATATTACTGTGAAATAAAATGGAATTAGAAGATTTAGACTAAAAAAGGGAGTACCTCTGTTTGGATTTAATGGTTATATAAAAATTCAGGTCTTCATAACTGAAGTTGAAGTATGAATGGATGTACTTTTATTTTTTAATTTAATAAATATATTTTGTATATAAATATTTTGATATGATGAATATTTCAAGTAAGCAAGATATGCCTTCATTTGTTAAAGAGTAATTAAGAAAATAGACGATAAGTCCAGAGCCACAAAAACATAGACAATTGAATTTTCATAGAAGATTAACAAGTTCATAGTTGGATGGAGGAATTTGCAACAATAATATTAATCAAAAGAAATTAAATAAGTAATTGTCAAGTACAAATTAAAATTATTACAAAATAAGTGCATGGATTATAATAATTATTAAAGACGAGTCCTTATAATAAATTGATGCAACAGAAATCTTAATCACAAATGTTGATTTAAGAAAGCTTTTCTCAACAATATCTCAAGGATACTAGTGCAGCTTATACTCCTAATTAATAAGGATCTCTCTAATAAAACTTTTTTAATAAAGTTGGTCTCTCTTAAAACTCGACAATGTCAAGTAGTGTAAAGCCTCGAATGAGAAGTGCAAATAAAGAAATTTTAAAAAGAAAATTGATAGCTGAAACAACGCAATTACTTTCTAATAGGGATAAAGATAAGCAAATAGTTACTTAATTATAACAAATTATTATTCGCACTAATTCTCTGTTATTGCACTATTAACGCGAAATTCAAAAGCATGCTTTAGAAAAGGAAGAATTAATTAAGTAGATAAAATAATTATAATCTTCATGATATTTTTTTAATCAACTCTTTTTTGTCTAAATATAAATAGTTTAACGTAATATTTTTTAAATAAATTTTTAACATGGCTCAATTTGACATTAGCAAAAAAAAAACAAATGAATTTACTTATACTGAAATACTGGAAGAGGTTAATATAAGTATTATATATATAGAATAATATGTTGAAACGTAAATTTTAAGATTTAATGAAGCAAATCAAATAATTTGAATAGGAAAGTAGAGGGTTATAATATGAGAATGAAATATTATAAAAATGCTTGACTTAATAAAAAAGTAATTAATAATAAGAGGTTAAAAATAAATAAGTCGAAGATTAAATTACATAATTATAAGCAATTCATTAAAAAGAGAAAGAATATTGGATAAGAGATCAATAAGAATAAGTGAGTAGAATCAAATAAGTTTAAGAGTAAACTAAAAGAATTTTATAAGATAAGATAGATAATTTAGAGAAAGAAAATGAATTTTTATAAATGGAACTTGAAAATAACAAAACTATAATTGAAAATTATGAATTTTAAATGGAGTAAAGTAATTAATATATGTGAGAACTAGTTCAATAAAATCATAAGGCAGAGTTAAATAATTTGTAGAGAGAAATAAAATAAAAATAATACAGTATTGACGAGTTGAAATTGTAAATATAAGAATAAGGGATGATATCTTAAAGAAGTAATAATAATTAGGAGTTATTAAACAAGTTAAAAGAAGTTATGTATTATTTATTGTAATTTTAGAGATGAATTAAATAAATGTAAGAAGATTATATCAAATTAATAAAATGAGATTTAATTATAATGTAGATTATTTGATGAATTAAGATAAGATTATCAAAAAAAGTTATGCAAAGAACGATCTAAATCATAAATGAGTTTCAAAGCAGCACAAGAAGTCAAAAATGAATATGAGAAAAAATATTGCAATTTGATGGAATAGATAATAAAAAACTAAACATCAAAAAGTTGCAATGCTTCATTTAAATTGTTGCCAAGTTAAATGGATTAGACAATTAATAATGATTTTTCTAGAATATCGAATAATTAATCAAATAATATGTATTTAATTATAATATAAATTAGTGGAGGTTTGAGCGCAATAAATAAAGCTTTGAGTGATTCGATGGATGATTATGAAAAGAGTATTTTGAATAATATATCTGGGAATGCTACAAAACGTAAGCCAAGTAAATCAGAATGGGAAAAAAAATAGAAAGGACAATAAAGTATTATGATTAGTGTATCTCCAGAAAATTAGATGCGTCCTTAATCTTAATAATAAGAGATATGTATTATATTTTGATAAATAATTTAGTTTCACCTAAAATATCTTAAAAAAGAGCTTAATCTATTCATTCAAGTAAAGGAATAAAATAATATACATTTAATTTATGTGAATATAATGAATCTCGTAATTCAAATGATTCTGATCAATATTATAGTTAATGCACTTAATAAACAAGATAAAGTAAGTTAACATTAAAACCTTAAAAATGCGGAGGTGATTTAAAAAGAAATTCTAAACATTAAAAATCACTTTCTACTTACAGAAGTGTAAAAGATAAAGAAAATCTTTAATTTACAATTCCAGAAGAGAATTAAAAAATAAATAGTATAAATACTAGTAAATAATTATAAATTTTGGAAGATAAAAATGAGAGATTGGATACTAATACAAAATTTAATTCTTTATTAAAAGTAATTTGATGATGATATTACATTTATTTTTACAATTTTATTTTAATTATAATTAATTTTATGTCATAGTAAAGCTCTTTTATAGCAAATCCATTAAATGATAGTTTAAGTGATGATAATGAAAAAAAATATATTCATAAACATTAATCAGATTAAGAACATTAATAAGAAGAATGTCCGAAAAATCCATTAGAATCAGATGAAGAAGGAAATGTATCAGCAGTTTTATAACATTTAATCAATGACGATTGTATTCGATAAAATTATTTTTAGAACAAGATCAATCTTCCAAAAGCAATGAATTATCAAATCCAATGATGGATTAAGATCCTATTTCATTAGAAAATGTTGTCAATCAAAACTTTTCATCTATTGGATAACAATATCATGTTTGTTAAACAGTCTTAGATTGCAATAAAACAATTGAATTTTAATAAGTCTAGAATCCACTATATTCTTGTGATGATTTATTAGACCCAAGATAAAGTTACAAAGACAAATCAAAAGATATCATAAAGAATCTTGATACTTAATTAGAATAAATCTAAAAAGAGAACTTAATGTTGAAAAGTATAATTATATTTATAATTGATTCAAAGAGCAATTACAAGAATAAGAGATGTTTCTAACAGAACAAACTAAAATAAAAGATCATGAAATAGCAACTTTATATTAAAAACATAAAAGTTTGATCGATGAAAATTATTAACTGAAAGAAAAAGTCTCAAATTAATAAAATGAGATAAATTCATTATAATAGTAAGTTAAAAAACTATAATCAGAAAAACTAATATTATAAAGATCTAAAACAGGAGCTGAAACAACAAGATATGATCCATAAGTATTAATATAAATATATTAAGGAGTTGCATAAAGCAACTAGTTTAAATGATTAAACTATAGCAACTTTAAGTGCAAATTAATTAGAAGTACGAAAAATTCCAACATTAAGTATTGATATTCCTTGTGCATTTTCTACCAGATCTAAATTAACCAATAAAAATTAATTTAATTTTTAAAATGGAACAACTAAAACCCATCATCTAACAAGTATTAGTTACATACTAACTGTAAGCTGAGGAATCCAATTCATAAAGACTTCATAAAATACCCAAAAACTAAAAATCCTTATAAGATTTAATCCATAAAGCATATATAGGGACTGCATTTTCGAAAACAAATAGTATAAATACTAAATAGTAATATTAGCTGCATCCTTGTAAAAAGTTTAAGGCTAAGGCTAGCTTTTTTTTGAAAGTAATTCAGCAAGACACAATTAATAATAAATTTATTTTGCACCTAAACAATGATCTCAGAATTAAAAAAAATCATAAAGTATAATTTTTGTCAATTTTTAAATTTAATAAAATTATACTAATCTATCCTCTTTATATTAATTTTAAGAATAAAGAAAATTTAAAAATTTATACCTTCTTTTTGGTGATTCTGTTTATTTATTAGATGACTCTTAAATTATATGCCTTAAGTAAATTTTTTTTTTTAATATTTTCATTAACCCTTCTATCAGAAAAGAATAAATAATCTGTTTGGAATGCACAAAAATCATTATAAAAGGTGGCTTTCTTATATAATGTTAGATGAAAAAAATTTCTAAGTCTCTAGGCTTTTTTTTATTTATTTATTAATATGATATACATAAAGTTCTATATATATTGTATACGGATCTTATTGATATTTAATTAATGTTTATAAATCCTTGTATATATATGTAGTTTATAATTTATATTTTATATTCAATTTGATAATTCAAATCGCCTAAATTTAGATTTATAAAATAATATAAAGTAAAGTTAAAATGGAGTAAGTATTAATAAAGATAACCAAATTCCATATTCTACTATTGTTGGCAATACTAATATGTAATTTAAAGCAAAGCCCAAAATCTAAGTCTATTTGTGAATTGTACATTAGCTATTCCCAAAATCCAAGTGCTTATAATTAACGACTTTAATGGATACAGCTTCTCTACAAATGCTTCTATTGCTATAGGATATATAACATTTAATCCTATCCCATTTAAAATATTCAATATTATCAATACCCAAAAAGGCAAGTAAGATATCAGAAATGCTTGCAATAGTAAAGCCAAAAAACCCATTAATGTTGTATACTTTATTATACTATCATAATCTGGTTATTTCCCTTATCTTGCTTATTAATCTAATTTAAATGAGATCCATATTCCTGCAATAATCCCTGATCCTGTAAAAAAGATACCAGCAATTCCTACCTCCAATTAAGTATATCCAAAAGGATAAAGTTATAAAGAAATAACTGAAATATAAATCCATGAAATCCCTATAAAAATTGCGAATGCTAATAGATCTAGTGAGAATTCTTCAATTCTAAAAATGTCAAAGAATTATTTAAAAAATCGCACATTTTCCTATAAATATATAAGAATATTTAATTACTTCACTATTCCTAATTATTTAATTAGTTTTTCTAATGAAAAGAAAGCATAATGGAACACAAATTGTATTTAAGATGGCGATAATAAAGTTCATTTCTTCAATTTTGATATTAATAATTTCTTGATCAATTAGATCCCAAAACTGAAATGATGAATAAGTATACGAAGCCATGATTCCTGCAAGTGTAGCATAACTTCCTAGACATGTAGCCAAAGTACGATCATATGCAGTAAACCAAACTTCGGATAAATCTACAAAAACCTTAAGGTTGAATAATTACAAACAGGAACTGCTAAAAATAAAGCCTCACTTACTCCAACAAAAAAATAACCAACTAAACACATAAAAAAGCTTTATTTGCCAATCCATATTATCCAAGCTCCTGCAGCTGTTAAGATTGAAGATACTTATAAACATAAATCAAGTCTCTTCTCTAATAAAGGAATAAAAGGCGGCGCAAATACAAAATATGTAATGTAATATAAATTTCCTATCCAATATAAGTCATTTGCATCAACATCATAATAGATTGCTGCATTTAACCAAACAGGGGAATAACTAACAAATCCAAGCACATTCGAAAATCTATTAATAAAATAAAAGTTTACGCTAAAAAACTATAAGCAAATAAAACAAACCATTTCATTCTTTTTGATTCTTTAGGAGAAACTTATTCATTATAGAATATTTCAATTTGATTGCTTTTTGACATATGGACTCTAAAATAAAATAGATTAATCTGAATTTTAATATATGTTTTTAGTTATTATTCTAAAATGAAATATTAGTCATCATTTTTCAATTAGATAGCTCAAATCTACGATATCTTGATTTATAAAAGAGAATAAAATATAATTCAAAAGGTGTAAGAATTGCTAAAGTCAACCATAATCCATACTCCATTAATACTGGAAAGATTAAGAGATAATTTAATGCAAATCCTAACAACTAAAAATATAAATATTTATACATTTGCTAATCCAAATACCCAAGTAGCTACAATTAAAGATTTCATTGGATATAATTTTTCAACAAATGCTTCTATTGCTACTGGATATATTACATTTAACCCTATACCATTGAAAATATTTAATAAAATCAATGCATATATAGATAAGTACTATATTGTAAAAGCTTCAAGAAGAAGAGCAAAAAATCCAATCAAAGTTGTTATTTTTATAAAAATATCATAATTTGGTTGCTTACCTTATTTAGCTTCTTAATCTAATTTAAAAGAACACCAAATTCCTGCTAATATTCCTGATCCAGTAAAAAAGATACCTGTTATTCCTACTTCTAATTATGTAAATCCAAAAATATATAATTACAATGAAATTATAGAAATGTAAACCCATGAAATTCCAATAAAAAAAGAAAATGCCATAAGATCAAGAAAAAATTCTTCATTTTTGAAAATGTTGAAAAATTAATAAAAAAATTTGATATTATCCTAAAATAAAATTATAAATAGAATACCTCTGTTTATTTTCCTGATTAATGTTTATATTTAATGAAGATAAAACAAATTGGAATTGAAAGAGAGTTAAGAATTGCTATGATTAAATTAAGATTATTAATTTTATGGTTGACAGTATTTTGTTCTTCAAACCCAGAAAAATAAAATGATGAATAAGTATAAGAAACCATAATACCAGCCAAAGTAGCATAGCTGCCAAAGCATGTAGCTAATGTTCTATCATAAGCAGTAAACCAGACTTCAGATAAATCTTTTATTTAAATAAATAATTATAAACTTACAAACTGGTACACCTAAATAAAAGGCTTCGCTAATTCCCACAAAAAAGTAGCCTATTAAACAAACAACATAATTAGATTCTGCTATCCATATAATCCAAGTTCCTAGTGTTGTTAAAATTGAGGATAATTTCAAACAAAGGTCTAGTCTTTTTTCTAGCAAAGGAATAAATAGTGGACCAAAAATAAAGAATGTAATATAATACATATTACCAATCCAGAATAGATCATTTAAAGATATACTATAGTAGAATGCTGCATTATTAGAAATCGGGGAATAGCTGACAAAACCAAGAACATTGGAAAATCTAAAATTATTATAAAAATATTACGCCAGATAACAAAATGCAAACAGGACTCCCCATTTTGTTTTATTTGAATTTTGTGGTTATAAATTATCTTGAAATTAAATTGCTGGTGTTTTTGACATGTAATTTAAATAAAGAAAAAAAGATTTCTATATAAGAGTATATATAAATAAGTATTATTCTTAAAATTTTTAAATTATATTTATGGGTTCTTATAAATCTAAAAATCATAAAGTAGATATCAATACACTACCAGTTGTTGAGCCTGAACTTGATTATGTGATAAAAACAAGACAACCTATGCCATCTAATTGGTAATTGAATATATTAAGAGGAAAGAGGGAAGATGAATTAAGAGGATTATCATATGCATATGCTAGGTAGAATGAGTGGTAAATTTAGACGAAAATGTCATAAAGCTGTGAATGATTTACTGTAATGTGAAAAGGATTATGGTTCTTTTTGGGCTGCATTTGATTGTTAAGCAGAGAATCATGATATGAAAGAATGTTTAGCACATTAATTTGATATAGAAATGGATAAATTAAGAAGAAACATGAAAATGAATACAGAATGGTGGTGGAAGGATCTTTATGATGAAAATGGAGAAGTTGGAGATTAAGCTAAATGGAAAGATGAATATTGGTTATTACCAATTCTTAGAAGTTATAAAGATTTATTTTATTCAATGATATCATAGAATAATTGATATATAAATATATATTTATATTCATTTTCAAAATTCTAATCAAGTTGATTTTTATGAAAATTCTGCACATATTGCCAAAATTAATAAACTTGCTACATGTTCACTTGTCTAAATAATAATATATTCTTTGCGTTTCATTTCCCAAGCAAGTGCTGATAAACCATTTGGTAAAATTATTCCTCCAACTATTAAGAGTATTAATTGAAATGTTGAACTGTAGTCCTATAATATTAAATATATTTTATATACCTTCAAATTGAGAGATTGATAAAATAGTATAAAGCAGTAACTTTTAACAAAACGCGCCAAAATTTCAATTATTTAACCATTTGAATTATCATTCTAAGATGATTATTTAATCTAGGCTCCAATTTTCCATTGTACTCCAAAACAACTATCAGAATACCAAAAGTGTCCTCATTTCTTTATAAATGAAATACCAAAGACTGATGTAAGAAATGTTCCAATTGCAGCTTGTAAAATTTATTAATACATTAATTAATAATCATTCTTCTAAATGGAATTCCATAAGTTCATCCAATTTTAAATTATTAGTATTATACTCTCTTAAATCTGTATGGTTGATTGCTTCTTTTAAATAATCTATCAAAGCTTTCAATTCTTAGTCATTTTAATCATTATGCCATTCTAATATAGGAATTCCATTTTCAATTTAAAATCCAAAAGAGTGAGCTAAGTTATCAATTATTAACATATCTTTAAGTTATTTATTACCAATTAATCTTAAATCTTTAATAAAAAATCCATTTTTAGTTTCCATACAATTATTTCTAGATAAGACTCCAGAAATATATTATTTTTTTGGATCTAAATAATTAATAATAGCTTAAGCATATGCTTAGGATGATGCAGTATAAATATAAATTGTATATAATTAAGAGAGTGAAGAGAGAAATAATGAAGTATATGGACGTATATTTATTCCAATCTAAAAATATTTAAATCATATTACTTTTGCTTCTTCTCCAAAGTCTCCTACTGCTGTAACATATACTTAAGGATTTTCTCTTGGAGCACAAGAATGTATCAAAGTTTCATCTAAATCTAGAATTAGAGTTTTCTCTTTTTTTGGACTTAGTTCATTTAAATATACTTTTTTTGACTCTATAAATTTATCAGAAGGACCTTTTAAACATTTTTTAGCATATATTAATCCTCTTTATATAAGAAGTAAATGCTTTTTAAACTATTATTCATTAATATATTATCCAAATATTAAATGACGAAAAGGATGCGAAGCTATTTTATCTTTTTAGTTTATTTGTTGATTCTTTTTAGTTTAATCACAATCTGAATTTGTATTCAAATTTTACATAGATGTTGTTTATCTACTCATTACAAACTTTTATACTTTGCTTTTGATAACTTCGGATTAGGTTAAACTTTTTGAGAGAGTTTTTATTATATTCTTTAAGCTTACTCTTCAATATTGTAATATATTTCTTAGTTATTTTATTCAATTGGCTCTTTATTATTTTCTGTATCACTAAAATCAGGTTCATTTTCTACATCACCATCTATTCTTTTTGTATTCACTAAATTACTAAATCTAGACATCTTGGCTGCTTAATTCAAAATTTCTACAATTACTTGTATGTTATTACTAAGTATTTCTTTAACTCTTAGGTGTACCACTTTCTGATTCATCTGTTTAAAATCCATTTTATTTTTAAAATGGTTTCTTTATTCCTTTATTTTCTGGTGTTGGTGTATTGTCTTATGAATTAGATGATTCTCCCTCCTCTTCACTATAAAATTATAGCTTTTATTCTTATGTTATCACCTATTTCAAATGACCTACATGAGATTTGGCTTTAAAGCTTATCAACTTGTCCATTTATTATTAATATTGACGATTTTTCTTGATTTATCAATTATTAATCCTAAAATCGATCCAGTTTTAACTGTTCTCCTATTATAATATACTTAATAATACCTTATAAATCTTTTTTAATTTTTAGTTGCCATTACATTATCAGAATTATTCAAAAATAAATAAAAAAAGAAAGCTTCCATGTGTTTTACAATGTAGAATCATTTATTATTCAATGAATTATTTTATTTTATTTCATTTTATAATAATAATTATTATTAAACCAATATTATTCAATCAGATATCTCATAAATTTTTACATTCTTCTTTTCAATAATAAAAATCAGATCTCAATCAATAAATTTTATTGATTTATTTATATATTTTAAAGTTTATTTTATTTTTTTCATTTTGAGTTCTTATTATTAATCATTAAATAATAATTTTTATGATTATCATATATGAAATCCAAATCTTAATTTTTATTTATTTAAACATTTATGTACATTTAAATTCATAGATGTTTAAAATTTATTTAAGAAATTATTTGATGATTATATTCATTACAAAGAATGTATTAAAGTTGTTTAATTTAAGTATGAAGTATTAAATATATTAAAAGAGAAAATATAGAAGTAAAAGTATTACAAAATTTAAAAAATGACTGGAAATTTAGAAAATTTAAAAATGATTTGTATGACCAATATTATAAAATGATTTAATATCTAATTATAAAGTATGAATTTGAAATAATATTGCATCATAAATTTATGAATTAATGATTAATTAATGCGATTAATGAGTAATAGTGCGTAATAAATAATAAAATTTATGTATTATTTAACATAAATTTCATCGTCTTATTAAAAAATAATAATAATTAAATAACTAAGATGTCTGAATCCATTTATAAAGTTGGCCCTAAAAAATATCTGAAAGCAATAATAGATACTTAAATTATTGGACTTTCTAGAGTAATACTCGGATTACCAATTGATCATGTTTTTGATAGATTCAAAACTTTAGTATAAGCTGAAAATACTTAATCATCAATGCAATAACTCTTTAAAGAAACTTATAAAAGAAATGGAGTATTAAAAGGAATCTTTGCAGGATTTTCCTCATAAATAAGCATTCAATTGTTTAAACAATATTATAGGTATTTGTTAAATAATAAACTTATTTTTAGATGGCCTATGATGATCTTAATTCCAAAATATTACAAAGAACATTTACCATAATCATGGATTTAAAATCAACCAGCATTACATAAAGGTTTAGCTGGTGCAACTATTGCAATGTTTGAATCCCTTGTGACTTGTCCTTTAGAAAGAATTAAATGTCAATTAATGACTCAAAATGAATCTAAATCAAGTATCTAAATTTAATTTATATTTTTTAGTCATTAAACAATTGTGGAAAAATGAACATCAATTTTCTCATTTTATAAAAAATATTTATACTGGAATGGAAGCCATGATATTAAAATAAGTAGTTTCTTGGACTAATTATTTATATTGGGATCATAAAATTAGATATCTATTCAAAGAAAGCCCTAGTTAAGCACTTACTTTATAATAAATAGCAATATGTAGTTTATTGACTGCTATTCCAAATATTTTATTTGTTTAACCATTTGATTCTGTTAAGACTGCTTATTAAATGGAAAACAACTCAAATTATAAATCATTAACAATTCCTTAAGCCTTCATCAAAGTGTATTAAGATAAAGGATTTAAAGGATACTATGCTGGATGGTAGTTAAGACTTTCACAATTTATTGTTTAAGCAGCCTTATCTACTCCAGTAATGGATTATTTGGAAAGATTACATGGTCTTCCAAATGATTTTTGAAATTAATTAAAAAAATACTATCAACTGATTATTATGACAATAATTATTATCATTATAATTAATCACTATTTTATCGACTTTCTTGTCTCAACTATTGATCCTGTTAGTTATCTTGATAAATTAGGTTTTGATTATCTCGCTTATGGTTAGTCTTGTACTATTTAAATTTATTATCTACTATTATGACCAGATTATTATGAATCAATAGATTCAGTTATCTAACGATTGTATCTTTATGGTTAATATTCATTTTACTATTGTTATTAATATTACATTTAAGGATATATATTTTATGATTCAGGAGTTCTAACAATTTAAGATTATTGTGGATAATAATCATCATCATTTACTGATTATTTTTTATCAAATTAACCAGTTAATTATTTGGAAATTTATTAATCTCTTAGAAATTATGATTATCTAGGTTATTAATAGTTTGATGATTATTAATATGATTGTTGTTATTACTGATATTATTATTTTATTGAAGATTAAGAATTCTATTAATAGTTATAAGTTTAATTATTAGGTTTATCGGTATTGATAGATTCAAATAATTATTATTAAGAAAATGAGGCAATATTATTATTAATAGGTCTTTAAGAATATAATTTTTAGTTAGAATTAGCTAATTCTATTGGTTCAACTATACTTTATATAGGTTTCTCATCAATTTCTTATTAATTATATTCATATTCTACTTCTCCTTAATGATTTTAATATTAATTTTCTTCTTTTTATAAATATTGAGGAGCAATATTATTATTTTAATAATAAGAAGATTATTTGTTTGATTAAATTTCTTATTTTGAATCACTCAATTATAATTGTAATTCTTTTTATGTAATTGGAGTAAGATTATTATACATTTAATAACTTTTAGTAGGTTCCCATTAAGTTGATTTAACATTTTTGCCTGGTGTTCTTGAATATCTAACTTAAGCATCTTAACTTCTTTATAAAGCTACTTTCGCACGTTATTCTAAAATCTCCATTTATTCATAAATATCAGTTGTATCAACTATTTTACTCTTTGAAGGTACTTAAATTTAATTAGAAATTTAATTAGATGGCCTAAAATCAATAGAATAATTTGGTAAATATTCTTAAATAGTTGAATGCTTAAATATAATTCATATAAGTTACTCTAAAATAATCTTCCAATTAAAATCTGAAACCTATTAATAATTCATTTGCTTATTAAGAGTTTGGTCTATTTTCAGGAGCTAATTGTAATAGTTAACATACTATAGAACATAATTATTCACTATATAATGTTTTCATTTCTCTGATATAATTATCTAATTGATCTGTAATTATAAGATATTTAGAATTATCATAAATATTATTTATACTATTTAGAGTAGCCATTTATAATGCAGTCAATCCAATACTAAATACATCAGATTTATCTAAATCATATGTAGGTTTCAACACTCTTTATTTTAGAAATAATAATTATTCTGGACTTAAGTTATAAGAAGCTTATTATTTAGCTACACATCTTCTAAATGCATTCATATCTGTTAATTCTTATATATCAGTCAGTTTGTAAACTGGAAAAGGTTCATTTTATCTATATGGACTCTTTTTAGAAAATGATGTTACACTTATTGTTAAGGGACGTATATCTCCATGAGATTTCTATTGTTTTTTTAATTTTTATAATGCTACTAACTATTAATTTATATGATAATTAATTTACTGTGCAATGAATCATAGCAGCTATTTCAATTTCTTCAAAATGTTATTTTGTAGCACTCTATTCATTTATTACTCTTTCCAAATATTCATCGAAATATTCATATACACTATGCGCTTATGTCATCTAGGTACATAATTCTTTTTCTGTGACATGTTATAAATCAATCATTTATATTAAAAATAAATCCTTATCTCTTGAAGCAATGTTCGATTCTGCTGATTGTTTAAATTTAAGCCATTATTCTTCATCTTATAAAATGTGATCTTTCACAGCAACAGTGTGTCCATCATTTAATTTATAAACTTTAATTTCTCCATATCTGACATCGTTCATCTATTTCCAAAATTGTAGTTGATTAATCTTAGGAACTTACATTCTAGATTGCTATAAATTTGGAGATTATGTTTATCCCATACTGTTAAAATTTATTTAATAATAAATTATCTAGAACAAAATTTAAACATTATAATACATTTTATAATCCATTAGTAGAATCATTCATTATAAAGGTCTAAGCTCTAAAAATTTAATTGATATTCCTGGAATATTCATAATCTTTTCGGCTTATATAATCCAATCATAAATTGGATTTTTATTGAATGTACTTCTTTTTACTATAAACTGTTTTCCAATTTGATTCACTTTTCCTTCATCTAAATCCTCAAATGGCATTTTGTATTAAGATAAATCCATAATCATCATTATTGTATAAGATAATCTAAATTAATTATTTTAATTAAAAATACTTATTATTATCTTCTTTAACTCCTAAAGCAAGAGAATCATTTTAAAATTTACTTAATTTAGTATTAGGATCTTTTTGCATAAAATTCAAATAATCATTTATTTTTGCTTGAATAGTATTTTAGAATTGATTTGGAACTTAAATTTTAACAAATCTATGATGCATTTTAACTTCTGTGATAACAATTTCTAAATCTTATAAACCTTGATCAAGTGGTTAAGTAAAGTTTTCAATTTTAGCTTCTTCATTAAGTGGTGAAGGTGGAGAATAATCATCAATTTTAGGTTGATTATAATCAATTAATGCCCATGAATGATTACCACCAGCAAATAATTATTTAATTCTTCTTTATTCTAAAAAATTGATTCTTGTATATTATGTTCTACTTTCATAATCCGCAACTCCAAGTTATCCTGCTTGATTATGTCCACAAGTATAGACATCAGAATGACTAGTTAATACAATAGAATGATTCCAACCAGCAGCAATTTAAACAATAGTTTTTCCAGATAATCCTATAACTAATTAAAATTTATTTTAATTTTCAGTAGCTTTAATTCCTAATTGTCCATGTTAAGCATATCCACAAGCATAAACAATTCCTTTATTAGATAATAATAAACTATGATGTCCTCCTAAACTAATTTCTTTAATAGTAGATTCTAACATATATAGAATATATTAAATACCTTATTTATTTTAAACATAAAAATCATCAATAATAATATGTTTTTAATTAAAATTGATTTTAACTTTTTTGGGTAATAAACTATCTTAAAATTCACCTTAACCAGTTTCTCCATACATTCCAGAACCCCAAGACCATAATTCTCCATCTTTATCTATAGCCATCATATGATAACCACCACAACTAAACTTAATTATATTATCTTTAACAATTGATGGTGTTTCAACATCATTTAAATGTCCATGACCTAATTAACCTCTATTATAATCTCTTCCTCCTCCTCCCCATGTATATAAATCTCCATTTGTACTTAATGCTGCACTATGAAAATCACCACAACCTATTTATACTATGGATTTTTTCAATGTTTCAATTCTTGTTGGTTTACCTGCTTTAGATCCTAATTTCTTATGTAATGTTCCTCCCCATGCATATACCTATCCATTATCTAATAAACATAATGTATGATAATCTCCTGTTGCTACTTATGTCACAAACAATCCTTTCATTGCTTATACAAGTAAGAATTTCGGATAAGATGGTTAATTTGCATCTTCAAAACCCAGTTTACCTAAATTATTATTTAAATTTGAATTAAAAACCATGCAATGCAGAACCACAAATAAATAATTATCCATCTGATGTAACTATTCCTGAATGATTAGAACCTGAACTTATTAATTATACCATTTAATTCTTTAAACCTTGTACTGCTTTAGGTGCATTACATTTCTTTTAATTACCCTATAATATGTTATTCTTTATATCTATTACTATTGATAATTCTCCATCTTTATTTCTTCCCCATGCATATAAATATGTTATCTAACTATCATCTCCTGCAAATTATGGTAATTGATCCATATATTAATTTTATTTTATATTAAAAATGGATCAATAATTAGAAAAATGGAAGTTGAATAACTAATATTTTATTAGAGATAAATATTTTAATCTCTATAAGAAATTTGGAAATTAAGCCCTTAGATAATAAGATTAATTACATTTCAAAAGACAACGTATTTTTAGAAACACTTCTTTTAAAGATAGAGAAAAATTACCTTTGATGGAATAATCTTCTAAAAAATGTGATTATAGTCTCCCAGAATTTATCTATCCTACAATTTAATAAGTTAATACTATTGATGAATATAATAAAATATTGTAAGATAGAATCAAAAGTAATGAATAAAAAGAAAGAAATTAATGGAAATTGCCACCTTTAGAAAAATAATATAAAGAAAAATATTAATTAAAAAGAACAATCTCATAAGCTGATTTAAAAATCAAATTGTAACAAATGTTATGAAAACTCTTTTTTTTATTTATATCTCGATTTCTATTTTTATTGTATTATCTTTTTATCTAATTAAATAAAAAAATATAAATGAGTGAGGATTAGCCTGAAGCTAACAGGCTATCAGTTAAATAATTGGCTGGAAGATTTCAATCAATGATGAAAGCTACATCTATTTAACAATAATAATAACCTCCACCTAGAAAATCAGAAGTTATTACAAGAAACCCATAATAATTATAATAATTAAAGGAAGATACTAATAAAATTAATTATAAATCAGAAATTATTGATAATTAAACAGATTCAAATATCAAGTCTGATGAAACTATTGAATCATTATAAAAAATTATTGAAAATCTTTAAAAAGATTGTAATAAAAAAGATCAAAAAATTTAGGATTTATAAGAAAATTTAGTTATCATTTCTGAATAAATGAAATCTCGTGAATCTAAAATTAGAGAAGAAGTATAATAAGAAACTAAAGAAACTAGTGAATTTGGTAAAGAAAGAGTCAAATTAATTGCTGAATTACATAAATGTTAAGTTGATCTCTAAGAATCTTAAAAATAAAATGCTAATAAATTCTCTTAAATCTAATAATTAACTAATAAAGCTACTTAAATTTAAAATCTATCCAAATTAGAAATTGATAAATTAAAATAATAAAATTAAGAATTAGAAGAAAAATTACTTTAAAGTCAATCTAAAATTGATTAATTAACTTAAAAAATTGAAGAACTTAAAGAACTTAATAGTTAATTAAATCTTTAAAATTAAGAAGTTGAAGATGTTAAGTTAAAATTAGAAAAAGAATTCTAATAAAGATATGATGAAGTAGAATTTGAAATCATTAATAATAGATAAATTATTGAAGATCTTTAAAATTAAGTTAAAGAACTTAAAGCTGTTTAATTATAATTAGAATCTGCTTCTATAAATGAAACATTTGATATGAAATAATAAATTAGTTAATTATAAGATTAAACAAATGAATTACAAAATTAAAATTAAGAATTATAATAAAAACTTCATGCTAAATAAATTGAATTTGACTAAATGAATAAAGCCAAATCTAGAGAAATTGAAAAACTTAAACAAGATAAAATTGAATTATAAGAAGAATTAGAATAAACCAAATAAATCTCAGAATAAACATAAGCTGAAACTGAATCTAATTATAAAAATTAAATCTTGATATTACAAGATAAATTTTTTAAGAGTGAAGAGTAAACAGCCAAATTAAATTTAAAAATATAAGAATTATCTACAGATCTTGTTCAGGAAAGAATGCTTTATAAAAATAATGAGGCTTAATTAAATGGAGTCATTACTTAATAAAAAGATGAATTATCATAAAAATCAAGTCTGGTTATATAATTGACTGAAAAAATTAAGATTTTATAAGATCATTCTATGTAATAGGAAACAAATATATCTAAAAATATAGATGATTATAAAGTATTACTTGATTAAAATAATTAATAAATTACTTAATTATCAGAATAAATTAAATCTTTAAAAAAATAGCAAAGATAATAAGAATAAGAAAATAAATAAGTTATATCTTAATATGAATAGCAAATTAAATAATATTTGGCTGAAATAACTTAAACAAAAATTTAAAAAAATGAAGCTGAAAATTAAAGATAAAATTGTGAAAGTTCTTTAAATTTGATAATTGAGAAATAAAAGGTTTAACTTTAATAATCAAATACAATAATTTAAGATTTAAATAATCAAATTGAATAATTTTAGTAAAGTATTTAAGATTAAGAAGAGTAAAGGTTAAGTGTCATATCAGTTAAGCAATCTTTATTAATAGAAAAGGAAAGTCATATAAATACACTTGAATAATAAGTAATTAAATGTTAGAATGAATTAAATTAAAAATAGGATATTATTTTGAATTTATAACAATAATTTGAAAAATAAAAATCGGAATTTAATTAAGCAATTGCTGAAAAAGAGAAAAATACAAAATTGACAAATTAATAAAGTTAAGAATTATAAAATAAAATTTCAGATTTAACTAATGAAATTAATTAATTAAGATAAATAGTTGATAAGGCTGAAGTGGAAAAATAAACAAATATTTAATCTTATAATGAAGCAAATCAACAATTAAAAGATTAATTAAATTAATAAAATAGTTTAATTTAAGAATTACAAGAATATTTAAAAGAAAGTAATTCTAAAGAATAATTAGCAATATAAAAGTCTACTCAATAAAGTTTAGAAATAAATTAATTGCAATTAGAAATAGGTAAATTAAAAAATGATTTATCTTAACAAGAATAAAAGTAATCTTAAAGTAATCTGGAAAATTCTTATAAGTTAAAAGAATAATAGACTTAAAATGAAAATTTGAAGAATGAAATCAAGTAAATATAATTATTATAAGAGAAAACGAAATAAGAAAATTATTAATTGAATGAGTAACTAATTGATTTGAAAGTTAAATTATAAGAGAATCAAGAATATATAAAATAAGTAAATTAAATATCAGAAAGTTAAAAAGAATAGCTTTAAAAGTTACATGATTAATTGTATTAAGAATAATAGAAGGATTCTGTAAATTAAACAGAAAAGTTTTATTTACAATAATTAATACAATAACACAAAGATTAAGTTAATGAAGTTCATGAGAAGAATAAATTAATAACTAGTATTAGTGAATCAAAAGATAAATAAATTGAAGCATTAAAGAAATAAGGAGAAGATGCTCAAAAACATTATGAATAATAAAAATAAACTTAATATGAAGAACTTGTATAATTAAAATAAAAATATGATTAATAAATACATATACTTGAAGATGAGAAATAAAGTTTAATTGCTGAATATAATAATAGAATAGCAAATTTAGAAGAAATCAATAATGATTATTAAAAAAACTCATCAATTGAGTAGAATTAATTTAATTAAGAGAAATTAAATTTAAAGTAATAATTGCTTGATTAGTAAATTAAGATAGAAAAATTATTAAAAGAAATTGAATAATTACAAATTTAATTGGAATAAAAATCTTAAGAAATTATTTAGATTAATTTAAAGAATGAATATGAAGTATTATAATTATCAGAAGAATTAGTTCAACTCAAATAATTAAATACAAAGTAAGTTGAAGAAATAAATGAAAGAGATTTAATGGTAACACTTCATTAGACTTAAATTAATTTATAAGATGATCAATTTAGACTAGAAATTTCTAATTTAAATGTTAAAATAGAAAATATGATAAGAGATAATTAAATTTAAATGGAAGAAATGAATAGTAATTATTAAAAGTAATTATAGTAAAAATAAAATGAAATTTAAAATAAAGAACATTAAATAAAAAAGCTAGATTAATAACTTTTTGATTATTAGGCATAGATGGAATAAAGATTAGAATATATTTAAGAAAAAGAAAAAGAAATAGAAAAGTTAAATTCAAATAATTAAGTTTTTTCAAATGAAATTGTCTAAAAGGAATAAGAAATTATTTAATTAAAAAATCACATAGAAAATTTAGGTATAGAACTTGAGAAATTTAAATCATATTCATAATTAGAATAAGAAAAATAATAATAGGTGATATTAGAATTAACAGAAAATTTGAAACAATCTGAATAATTATTCAAATAATAGAATAAATCTTTAGATGATTAAATAAAAAGTTAAGAACAATAGATATCTAATTTAAATTAAAAGATTGCATAATTATAAGAGAATTTAAATTAATTGAATTAAAAATATTAAGATTTAAGAAATGAAAAATAATTGAAAGAAAGTGAATATGAAAAATAAATATAAGAATTATAGAATCTAAATGAGATTTAAAATGAAGGAATAGATTCTTAAATTTAAACAAATGTTGAATAAGCTGAACAAATTTAAAAATTGGAGTAGAGGGAATAATAAATGTTTGAAGAATTATAAAATTTAGTAGAAGAAAAAAAATAAGTTGAATTAACATATAAATAAACAATAGAAGATTTAAAAATTGTTTAAGAATAAAGAATAGCAGAAATTAATAAAAAGAATTAAGATTTGATTTAATTAAAGAATTTAATGTTAATATAAAAGGATGAAGAGATGGATGAATTAAATTTATAAATATAATAATAATAGGAAGAAAATACAAAATAATAAAATTAGAATGATACTTTATAAATACATTTGAGAGAATTAAAGAATACATATGATGAATATCGAGAAACTAAATTTTAAGAAGAGAAAAGATTAAATAAGGAACTAGATTTGGCTGAATAAAAAATAAATGAATTATAAGAATAAGTTGATTAACATACAGAAAGTATATAAAATTTATAAAGTGAAATATAAAGAAAAGATTTAGAATATTTATAATTATAATCTTAATTGTAGACAAAAATATAACAACATACTCTTGAATTATCTGATCTTGGAGGAAAAATAACAGAAGAATAATTAAAACATTAAATTGAAGCTAATCAAAAATAATAAGAGATAAGTGAACTTAATTCTAAAATTCAAGAAGATAAAGATAAAATTGAAGAATTATAAAACAATATCATAAATAAAGAAGCTTAAATTAAATCATTAGAAGAAACTATTGAAATAAATACTAATTAGATTTAATAATAAAGTATAAAGATTTAAGAATAATAAAAATAAATTGAAGGATTAATTTAAGAAAATCAAACTAAGTAAAAGTAATTAGAATAATCAGCAAAAAGTGTAAAAGATACTTAATTAGAATTAGAAGAGTTGACTTCTTAATTAACTGAATAAATTGAGAAATTTAATCAAACTGAAGGATCATATTTAAAATTATAGTAATAACATAAATCTTTAGAAGAACTTTACAGTAATACTCTAAAGTTATTAGAAACAAAAGAAGAAGATTTAACAACAACTGTAATATAAAAAAATGAAGAAATTGCTAGTATTCAATTATAGATGGAAAAATAAAAATAAGAGTCTGAAAAAGAGTATAAACAATTAGAGGATTATTCTTATGAATAATTATTAAAAAAAATGGATGATATTGCTTAAAAAGATTGGGAAATAGATAATTTGAATTAAGAAGTTTAAGACTTAAAGATGAAATTGTAAGTAGGTATGGAGTGTATTGAATAATATGATAAAGAATTAGATTAATAGACTATTGAGATTGGTGAATTAAAATTGAAGGTTAAATAAGAGGAGAAATAAATTTAAGAATATAATGAGGTTATTGAAAAATAGAAATTAGAGATTGAAGCTGTTAATAAATAAATGAATGAAGAACTAGAATTAGTATCTTAAACACTTTAAGAAAATTAATAAAATTATGAAGCTGAACTTTAAACGAAATTAGCAAATTTAAATAAAAAAGAAGCTTAGATATTAAATTTAGATTTTTAAATTGCAGAACTATAATAAAATATAAATTCTTAAAAAGATCAAATTGATCAATTAACTACAGAAAGAGCTATATTAATTGAGAGATAATAAAAAATGGAAAATGAAAAACAGGAAAGTGATTAAGAATTAAAATAATAAATTTTAAACCTAAAAGACAGTTTGTAATAAATGGAAGATAATTATAATTAATTAAAAATATAAAATGATGATGTATCTAATTAATTTGTTACTCAAAAAGAATTATATAATAATTTATAATTAAAATATGAAGAAGATTAAGAAGATTAAGAATCTTGTTAATAATTTATTTAAGAATTATAAAATGCAAAAGATAAATAAAATGTTGAATTTTAAAAGTATATGAAAGAATCAGAATTCAATAATTAAAAAGCAAATAGTAAGATAAACTAATTAGAAGAAAAATTGATTTAATTGTAAAATTTGATTGAATCTATTTAAAAAAATTTAGAAGATAAAAATACATAATATGATGAATTATCTTAAAAGTTATTTGAAAAGTAAAATGAATTAAATTAAATTGTTTTAGAAAAGTAAACTAATGAAAAAAAACTTAGTTTATAAATTTAAGAATGCAATAATAAAATTGCATCATACAATTTAGAAGTTGCTCAATTATCACAAGTAATTACTTTGAAAGAATCTGAAAAATCTTAATTGTCAAAATAATTTGAACAAACTTCGGATTAATTAAAATAACAACTTTTTAAATAAACATAAATTATTTAAGAACTTTAAGATTATATTAATGAAAGTTAAGAAAATGAATAACTTGCAGGATAAAAAATAAATAGTCTAAATTTATAAATTAGTACTTTTGAATTTGAAATATCAAATCTAAATTGTGAAATACTTAAATTATAGAATACAATAAAATAATAAAAAGAAGAAAAATTAAGGATGGAAGAAGATCATTAATAAGATATTATATAAATTCAATAATAATTATAAGCAGCTATTAGTGCTAATTAACTTTTGAAAAATGAAGCATAGAAAAAGTAAATTAATCTATTTGAGAATGAATAAAATTTAAATAGCAAAATAGAGCAATAAGTATATGAAATTAAGATTTTAAAAGAAGAAATATAAAGATTATAATAAGAAATGCAAAGACAAACTAAAGAAAGTGATTCTAGTATAAATAATAAAAACGAAATGATTGATTTATTAAAAAAGTAGTTAATTGATATTTAGAATAGTGCAGCTAATGCAGAAGAAATGAAAGAATTAATTTAAAGGCAATTATAAGATTAAAGTTAATCTTAAGCACAATAATTAAATTAGTAAATAAAAACAAGAGAGGATTAGATTACTAATCTTAGATAATAAATTTAATCATTATCTTAAAGTAAATAATAATAAGAATAGTTGTTAACAGAATAAATTAGTGTATTGAATTAATAAGTAAAATCAAAAAATGAATCAATGAATTAATTAGATGAATCAATTAAATATTTTAAAAGTTAGATTGATTAATCAAATCAAACAATTACTTAATTATAATAAGATATATAAAGTTTAAATGGTAAACTTCAAATATAAAAAAATGAAAATAATCAAATAAATTCTGAGAACAAAGAGTAATAAAATAGAATTGAAAATTTATAACAAACATAAAATATAATGAAATTAAAATTAGAAAAATTTAAATAATAAATTTTGAAATTAGAGGAAGAAAAATCAAAACAAAATGAATAAATTAAATAATTAACCACATAAATGAATGACTAAAATTCTTAAAATTAACAAATAACGTAAAAATTGTTAACAGAAAAAGAAGAAAAAGAATTAATCGATATTTAATAGAAAAATATTTTTGAATAATTCTAATAATATAAAGAATGGTCAGAAAAATAAATAAATTAATTAAATAATAAGACAACTTAATTAGAATAAACATTATTGTAAAGCCAAAATAATTATTTATTAATAACTAAATAAAAATAAGAATTAGATGAAAAATTAAGTAAATTAGGTTAACAATTATAAAGTGTGAATTCTTAATTATCAGATCAAAGAGAATAATATGAAAGTGAGATTTAGCAATAATCCTAATAAATAAATAATCTAAGTTAAGAAAACTCTTAATTGTAAGAAACATTAAATGAAAAACTTGATGAATTAAGTAAAATATAAATTGAGAATACAAAATTATAGTAAAATTAGAAAAAGGTTGAAAAATTGGAAATATCAGTGTAAGAATTAAGTATTTAGAAAGAATAAAATGGAAAGTAATTAGAATAATAGGAGATAAAATTGAAATCTTAGTAATAAGAATTAGAATAATTAAGAGAGAATTATAATTTATTAAAGAATCAAATAAATTCTTTAAATCAATAAATTGCTCAATATGAATTGGATAAGGAAAAGTTAAATAAAGAGATTAAATAATTATCAAATCAGAATTAAAATTATCTGAATTAAGTTCAAAAGTATTAGGATTATATAAATTAATAGTAGCAAGAACTTGAAAAAAATATAATATAGAATAGAAGCATAGTGATAAATGATACATAAGGATAATAATTAGAAGCAGAATTGAAAATTCTATAAGTAAAAGTATGTATTAATTATAATATAATTAAATTAGTTGGTGTAACAATTGAATTATTACAAATAATTGATTTAGGATAAAAAGAATCAAGAAATAAGAGCCAAGATTAATGAGGATTTAGATTAGATAAAAAAGGATTATGTAATGGCTTTTGAGAAGATAGGTATATTAATAAGAGGAATAGATGATTTAGAAAAAGTTAATGGGCCAAAAAATTAGTAAATAAATGATATTATGAATTAGAAATGAGTTAAATAAATCAATAGCAGGATTGAAAGATTTTATATCAAAGTTTGCAAGTACAATATTGAGGGATATTAAATGAGTTAATGTTTATTTTCAATTAAATAATGTTCTTTATTTTAAATTATTGATTGAATAAGGATTCTTGAAAAGTGACTTATAATTTGAGTAAGTTTATAGCATTTTGTAGTCAAGAAAGTGGAATTATTTGATATTACATAAATATGAGTGGTTATGGCTTTGTTAGGAAGTTAGGAGAAGGAGAATAAGGACAAGTTGTTGAAGTGATAAATTACAGGGATTAAAAGAATTATGCAGCTAAATAGATTTCATTAAACTTATTTTCAGAAAAGTTGTTTTAAAGACTATAATAATTAAATCATCCAAACATTGTCAAAGTATTCGAATATGAGATTAGTAATAANGAATACAAAATTATAGTAAAATTAGAAAAAGGTTGAAAAATTGGAAATATCAGTGTAAGAATTAAGTATTTAGAAAGAATAAAATGGAAAGTAATTAGAATAATAGGAGATAAAATTGAAATCTTAGTAATAAGAATTAGAATAATTAAGAGAGAATTATAATTTATTAAAGAATCAAATAAATTCTTTAAATCAATAAATTGCTCAATATGAATTGGATAAGGAAAAGTTAAATAAAGAGATTAAATAATTATCAAATCAGAATTAAAATTATCTGAATTAAGTTCAAAAGTATTAGGATTATATAAATTAATAGTAGCAAGAACTTGAAAAAAATATAATATAGAATAGAAGCATAGTGATAAATGATACATAAGGATAATAATTAGAAGCAGAATTGAAAATTCTATAAGTAAAAGTATGTATTAATTATAATATAATTAAATTAGTTGGTGTAACAATTGAATTATTACAAATAATTGATTTAGGATAAAAAGAATCAAGAAATAAGAGCCAAGATTAATGAGGATTTAGATTAGATAAAAAAGGATTATGTAATGGCTTTTGAGAAGATAGGTATATTAATAAGAGGAATAGATGATTTAGAAAAAGTTAATGGGCCAAAAAATTAGTAAATAAATGATATTATGAATTAGAAATGAGTTAAATAAATCAATAGCAGGATTGAAAGATTTTATATCAAAGTTTGCAAGTACAATATTGAGGGATATTAAATGAGTTAATGTTTATTTTCAATTAAATAATGTTCTTTATTTTAAATTATTGATTGAATAAGGATTCTTGAAAAGTGACTTATAATTTGAGTAAGTTTATAGCATTTTGTAGTCAAGAAAGTGGAATTATTTGATATTACATAAATATGAGTGGTTATGGCTTTGTTAGGAAGTTAGGAGAAGGAGAATAAGGACAAGTTGTTGAAGTGATAAATTACAGGGATTAAAAGAATTATGCAGCTAAATAGATTTCATTAAACTTATTTTCAGAAAAGTTGTTTTAAAGACTATAATAATTAAATCATCCAAACATTGTCAAAGTATTCGAATATGAGATTAGTAATAACTCTGCTTATTATTTAATGGAACTATTACATGAATAATCTCTTTATAAATATATTCGAAATCATTAGTTGGAATTGGAAGCAATTTAATTTTACTCAGCATAAGTCTTATTAGCTTTGGATTATCTACATAAGAATGATGTAATTTATAGAGATTTGAAATCAGAGAATCTTTTATTGATGAAAAATGGATTTCTAAAGTTAGTTGATTTTGATTTAAGTAAATTGGTTAAACATCCTTAAAAGACAAATACATTATGTGGAAGTCCAGGTTTTATGGCTCCTGAGGCTATTTAAGGTTAAGGATATAATAATAGTGTTGATTATTGGAGTTTTGGAATATTATTATATGAATTCTCTACTGGAGATCTTCCTTTTAAAGGCAAAACACCATATGAAGTATATTAAGCCATTCTTAATGAGAAAGTTGAATTTCCAAATTGCATTGATAAGTTGCTTTTATTATTATTTTAAGATCTGTGAAATCATTGATTTAATAATTATTGACAAAAAATCCTTTGAATCGAATGAAAAAAGTTAAGAACTTTGAGTATATCTTAAAAGAATCAGAGATTTATTCTTCTTTAGATATAAATGATTTATATAATTAAAAACTATTAGCTCCATATTATCCATGAAAAAAAAGAAATTTTAATCAAAATTTGAAAAAAATACACAAAAATAACTATTTCTCAAGTTAATCATCTTGTAAATTCATATTACCTTCTTCCTTATAATTTTGCATATTTTAATTGACAAATTTACTACAAATTAATTAAAATTAGAAATACCTTTTCTGAATTAGTCCATTTTTAATTATTAAATGTTCTATAAAACCTTAATACAATGTCTTGATTTATAAAATTAACAAAAGCATATCCCAAATGACCATCATTCTTCATTTATTAAATAAAAATACATTGTTATCCAAAGGTAAATAAAAAAAGTCATAAAGATTACGAAATTCTTTATTTAAAATATTTCTCAAGTCGTTAGGCTTCATGTTTCTTGGTATATTTTTAAGCATCAAAGTAGTTCTATCATCCTTAATAATCTATGTTTTTTAATTAAAAGCTTTACATTCTCTTCTACAATCTCTAATGAAGCCTATTACAATTATAAATATTTTTCATCATTCAAGAATATAAGTTTATCTTATATCAATTCCTAAGTGAACTGTTCAAAATTTTTTTAGCCATCTTCTTCAGGGAATAATAATTTAAACTCTAAATGGATTATAAACCCAATACCAAAAGCACAAAGGGAGGCTTCAAATTTTTCATCAAAACTTAATAAAGGTCTAGGAATTTTAAGTTAAGAAGCTTCAAAAGAAGAATTTCTTGAACTGTTAGGTGATGTTGTAGTATTTGTCTATGATAATCTCCCTTTATTTGGAGTTGTTCTTAGAGTATAATCAACTAAATTACAAATCATTATTTAATAATAAAAACAATGGATCATTGTCTCATTGATTTTCTAACTTTCTAACAGTAGCTCTTGTTTTAATTTGTCTCTCAAAATTTCTTAAGCAATTCAAACAGTTCCACTTCCCTTAAGGAACTTCTTTTAAGTTTATACATTTTGGATGGAATACTTTTGGACAAGTATCACAACAAATTACCTTTCCTCCTTTATTACATTTTTTACATCTGTCTTCCCATTTGGTTTCAGTTTCTGTATATTAAGGTTTTATTGAATTTCTTTTCCTCAAATTTTATGTTACATATATCTATGCTTCCTAAACAAATTATGGTTAAGGTTCAATATTCTTTTTAATAATTATTTCTTCAACCTTTTTCTTTTCTCCAACTGGAATAATTAATTATTGTATTTATATTTTTTTTCTATCAATATAATCTTTTACTATTTAACCTAATACTTCTAAACAAATTTTCATTTTTGCTAAATTACAATCAAATTTTAATTGTTCTATTAAATTTTATCTAAGAGTCTCATAATATGTACCAAATAATTTCATTGGTAATTTCCTTACTCTCACTTTCCCTATATCCATTTATTCTAATTATTATAACATAGTTTAAGGTTATTCATCAATAGATGAATCATCTTCAACAACTTTTCTTTTTCTATTTGGTTATTAATATGAATCTTCATCATTTTCATTAAATTATTTTTCATCCATATCTTCTTCTAATCTAAGTTCTAATTTTTCTTACATCATTGTATTATCTACAAAATATTCAATAGCTTTTCCTAATGGTTTTAGATCTATTTCATCATATTCAGAAGAATTCTTTTTTTCTATTACATTCTAAAAACTCTTTAAAAATACTATTCTTTACTCTGTACTACACCATCTTGAATTTTTTTAATTTAAATATTAAGTTAAACTAGATTCTATTTCTACAAATTCATTAATAAGATCGTCAACATCTAAATTTATTAAACTATTAATTCTTTCTATTTATTCTTCACTTTAATTATGTACTTCTTATTCTATATCGTTATCTATTCCCTTACCATTTTTATGATTTTCTTATTCTATTTAATCATTCTAATCTTAATTTTATTCATTTATTTATAATAATTTTGCTCTTTATAATTCAATAATATTATTTTTTAAAGTATTTTCTCGTACTCCTTTTGGACATAATGAATTCAACAGATTTTAAATTTCAGTTTAATCATAAAATCCCCATTTCTATGATCCATCTTCATCAATAATTGAATGTTTCATGCATACAAAAATTTTATCAGGTTCATATAAAAAGAAATAATATGAACTATGTTTTGCATCTTATCCTATACACATAGATGGATTTAATAATAAGGCTGGCATTTATGTAATAGCTAATTCCTATTAAAATATTAATAAAATAATACTTTATCTTATTAATTATATCTTTCTGTTAAAGAAGCTATTTCTTTTTCTAATTTTGAATATTGTTATTTTAATTTTTAAGCTTATTTTTAGGCTTATTCCATTGATTTTGTAAATTTCTAAGTTTCTACTCTTGTTAAACCATCTTATTATAATTAAGACTATAGAAATAAATAAAAATTTACTTTAGCAATAGAAATATTGCCTTCAGCTTCTATAATTTCTTTTTTAATATCAATTTATTGACTTCTTTGTTATTTAATTTAAGTGCCTAATTATTATTTAATTCTATTATTAGATAACAGATTTTCAGTTCTGAATTAATAAAGAAACTAAGTTTTTTTAAGACCAGTTAATCCATCTGATAGAGCTATAAGCAATTTACAAACTTTTTTAATATCAGTATAATCATTAAAATCTATGATATCCTAATTTAAATGTAGTATTCCTTATTTATAAATATTGGTTGGCAATGATTTAATATCATCTCTCAATAATTCGTAATATCTAACTCTATTTGTAAACCACATATATCCAAGAAGATGCCAATATGGAATTTTCTAGAAATATTATATATATGATAGAAATTACATATTGTTATTTTTACATTTATTCTTAATCTAAATCTTCAATGATTTATTTAAGATAGAAATAACAAAAGAATAGGATTAATTCTTCAGGATTATTTTAGATTAAATTATAAATCTCTAAACGAGTTTTTTAAGAATAGGGTGTATGATTATCTTTAAAATGAATCAATGTTCCTATATTGTTAACTTAACTTTGTTCTTTTGATATAATAAATAGAAATACATTCTGTTTGTTATTCTCCTGCATAGAGAATATCACTCACGATTTTATCCATATAATTATAACTATCCCATATTTTAAGAATATCTTCAAATAGATTTTAGGGAATATTGGAATCAAGTTAAAGAAGTGGTTTCTTTTTAATTTCAATGGTAAACAATTATTAATATGCTGTTAGATATTCATCAAATATTGGAAATATAACTCTTCCTTATTATACATAAGTTGGATATTTTAATTGAAATTCAGTATGTTTTTTCAATTTATCTTCTTATGGTTAAAGTGTTTTCTGAAAGAATTCTGGGATTTAATTAGTTTTCTTCTTTTTCTATGGTTCTGACTCTTTCAATTTTCTCTTAGCCATTCTCTCTATACATGAGAGACAGTACCATTTAATGCCGTCTTAAAATTAAGGCTCTTTGTTTTAAGTTCGTATACATTCTTTGTGGTATTTAAAGTGACACCTTATACAAATTATAGTTGGAGTTGATTGAGTAGTCAATTTGCATAATCGACATATAGATTTATCACCAAATTACTATTTCCCATCAATTGGCTTTTTCTACTCTAGCTTCTTGTTTATTTTCTTATCTTTCTTGTCCTTCTTCTTTTTTTGATTGTCTTCTACTTATGATTCCTCAATTATTTCATCTTCAATGTTCACATCTTCCTCACTAGCCATTAAGTATGTCTATGAATTATTTCAAATTATTTAAAACTCTGAATCCAAAAGAAGTGCTATTAACTTAATTACTAATATATTATAATCAATGCAAATTATTTTTTATAAACATTCTTCAACTCTCTATGTTTTTATTTCACTTTACTAATTCTACTCCTTTTCATATCGAAATCATTATCCATATACATTAATAAATATATATATCCAAAAAAATAATAGTGCAATTAAACATCTCATTAAACCATTTTCTTTTCAACTACCCCAATCTGAATAATTTAATCCACTACTTTTAGATAATCTTTATTGGAATTATATTTAAGCCAATCTCTAATTCAATATATCTCTCTATTCTTTAGAGATATTAATTAATGTGGACCATTTCTTAAAAACTTTGTCTAATCCAATCTTACATTAGATGATATCATAAATTTGGAATTTAGATTATTTAAAATAAAGTTAGAAGTATCCTAATTTGTTATGGATTTCTATACTCAAATTAACAAGAAAAAGAAAAAGTAGAACTTTTAAAAATAAAACAAGAGTATATAGAAAATTAAAAGAAATTTAAAAGTAACATCTAAACTAATAAACTCCTAGAAATAAAGAACTTTATTAATTCAAAATATAAGCGAAGCAAATAAAAAAAACCTGTCTTTAAATGTCATCATAGTAATAAATATTATCTATCTAAAAATAAAATCACTCAAACATTTTGATAATAAACATGTTGAAAAATGAAAAGATGTTATATAACTAATTCAGAATATTTAGGCTCTATGCTTTAACAATTATAATATAAATAAATGTAATAATAATAATCAATGATAAACATATAACAAAGCTTTTTGAAATTATAACAATTTGATACTACTATGTAATCTATGCCTGATCTATTAATGACTGTTAGCATTGGATTTTAGTAATTGAAATAATAATAAATAGAAAAAATGGAATTAAAATAAACGCGAAAAGAAGAAAGAAGAATTAAAAGAGAAAATGAAAGAGATGAAAGATAAAAAATAAATACTTTATTCTTGTTCGTATTAGATTTATTAATACTTTTATTAAATTGTTCATCTGATTTTCAAAATTTTATGAATGGTACATTAATAGATATTAAATACTTTCAAGAATTAAAATAAATTTTAGTGGAATTGTAATAGGAAGCATAAACGAACGAGTTTCAAAACTAAATGAAACTTTTAATTGAATAAAAATAATAAGAAATGGTTAGATTAATCAGTATGGTTGGATTATAACAATAAGTTTAAATCAAAATACATTTGACATTCTTAATAATTATCAAGAGATTAGAAACTAGAAGATTAATCTGGTATGATGAGTTTTCACAATTAATCATAATCATAAAATTCAAAAGATATAAGAAATTTAAAACTAGAAATGATTAAGGCTAATTAAATAAAAAATAATTAATTAAGCTGAAATGGTTAATTTTTTCATTTTGAAATTGAAAATGAAGTATTAGATTAAGATAATGATACTTCATATTTATGATCAGTTCATAAAAAAAGAGAAGTTTAACAAGCTGAAATTGAATTTATTGAAGCCATAAAAATTTAAAAAGTGGATATATAGGATGATGATGATGATGAACAAAAAGATAGAGATTTTAATGATTTATTAAATAAACAAAAAATAAAAGTTATTAGGTCTTAATGTAAAATATTAAATTAATAAAGAATTACTTTAATCTTTAAATAAGATATAATAATAATCTAAGCTTAAATGATGAATAAAGGATTATTTAAATTACTTAGTGTATTATTTATTAGTATACATAATAATTGTATTTATATTGATATTTTTATATTAATGAAATCTGGAAATTCAAATTTGCCCAATTCTAATTAACCTGATCAAAATGAAATAAATGAATATATTAAAGAGTATCTCAGATATTCATCTTTTGCAAACACTCTTGAATGTTTTGAAGCAGAAATAAAGAGCAAATAAGTTTCTAATAAAGTATTGATATTCATAATTGTCATTTTTAGATGTTGAATAAATAATAATAATCTAAGTAAATAGGGGATGAAGCACCAAGAATATTTCAACTCTTTAAGAGTGACAATACAAAAACAAAAAGGGAAATAAATTTAGAAAAAGAACAAAAAGCTTTCAATAAAAAATATTAACAAATTCTTTAAGCTGGAAGACAAATATTCTCAGTTAGTATAAATTTACTTTAATTATTGCATTCTCTGAAAGAAACAGCTAAGAATGAAAATTTAAGTGAAACTTTAGAAAATTATAAAATATAATTAGGGAAATATCATAAAGTAATAATTAATGAAGGTAAACCTGAAGGAACTGAATTGATTACTGAATAGGTGATGCATGAACATAAGACAAAACTCTTTAAGAATTTTTAAGATAAACATGTTGATGGAATGATTGAAGTTTTATTATCTTTAAGAGTAAATGCATTACAAATAGCACCAGAATTGAGAAAAAACTTAGTATATGAATTGATCAGAAATGATGTTTTCAATATTGAGGCAACAGAGAAATTTGATTTTGTTGTTCATTTATTGGATATTAATAATTAGAGTTTAAGACATGCCATAACAAGTTTAATAAGTGTAATAAGTAGTACTTTGAGAGGTGTAGAATACCTTACATATAATGGAAATATGATAATTATTGAGAAAATAATAAAAATATTAAAGGAATAAGAAAATGGTTCAGTTACTTAAAGATTTTGTTTAGCAATATTATAAAAGGCTAGTATTAAAGATACTGTTATTCCAACATATGTTCATAATGAAATGATATAATGGATCATTTTATTAATACAAAAATCAATAAATACAAAAATTCATATATTTTGTCTTGATTTTGCTTCTGCAACATTAGCAAATGTAATTCATACACCATATACTTTGTCATATCTTGAAAAGTAAGGAAGATTTGCCCATTAAGTAATGGAATAACTTTTAAAATTTATGAAGGAATAGATTCAAGTAAGTGTATTAATGCATGTTTTAATTTGTTTATCATATTTGAGTAAGGAAAACTTTGCAAAATAAATGGAAGAATGTAGATTTGTAGAGAGAATCAGTGAATTTGTTGAATATTATAGTGTTATTAATACAGGTATAAATTATAAATTATTTTTAAAAGAAAATGAAGCAGCTGAAATAGACAAAAAAACAGTTTTAGATTTGTGTGCTCATATGTTTCATCCAAAAGATACATCACTTGATAATTCAGAAACTGTTGAATTGAATGAATTAAAAACAGAGGACAGAATTAGAGAATATGAAAATGAATAAGGAGAACTTATATTTGAATGCTTTTAGGATGAAGTGAGTTGATTTGAAATATATTATTCAATCAATAATTTAAATTATTGTTCTTATTCTCAAAAAAAATATTTGTTAAGGAAACAAAATTTAAACACCTTTTCAAAAATGAAATAATCATGTTTTTTTAACTAAAATTTGATCAAAATTCCTATAATATTTAATCTAAAATTCAATTGAATTTTAAAAACCTTCTACTCCACTCACTTATTATATAATATAAGCATAACTAAATCATAAATGTACAGAGTATTTTTAATAACTCTTAATACTTCTTCAAATGGAATAAAATCCAGTTCCTATCTTTGATTAAGTAAAGGATAAAACTAAGTAAAGAAAAGCAATTGATTAAGAGATAAAAACAAAACTAATATTAAGTGTGGTTAATGATCGTCTTCCAATTTATTAGGTAATGAAGAATTACAATAATTAATTATTTTAGGCTGCTATTCTCCATAAGGTTAAATATTCATCTGCTAAACATATTCTTAGAAATTACTTTAATGATTCCGCAAACTTTTTTTCTACTTAAAGAAAGAGAAAGAGAAAAATATTATGCAATAATGTCTTCGTATTCATAGATGCATGTTCTGGAAAAATTACTCTAAAGAAATAATAGCCTCATTCAATGTCCTGTGCACACAACGGAGTTACTCCAGTTTTATAATAAAAATTCTTAAGTTAACTATCCACAGCCATTTATATGGAAGTTCACCCACTTTCAAGTATGAAAAATAATCTAGTATTAATAGAAAAAATAGCTAAACACACTAATGAAGTTGAACATACTCAAAAAGACTTATATAAATTATATGAGATCATAAAAAAGCAGCATAACGAAATGACGAATTTAAAGGAATAATATTGAAATTATCAAAATTAATAATAAATTTACATTGAAATTATAGAAAAAAGTAATGCTTATAGGCTAGTGAATTAATTTTATTATTATGTTAAGCTTATTCTCTCTTTTGAAATTATTGACAAATTTCAATTTTATTCTTTTCTCTCCTGCAACTCATATTGAACCTAATTTAAAATATCAAAATTTTATTTAATTAAAATAACAATTATCTTCTATGAATTTAAAATAAAATAGACTTAGCTTCTTCAATATTCTTAAAATAAAAAGAATAAATATTTTTATTCTTTAAGAAAATAGAATCTTATCACCAATTTTTAATAAAATTATGTTATTCAATTTTTTATAAATTTTTCAAGGTTATGGTAAATTGTCTCTGTCAAATAAGGGACATTTGCAATCTGGAGCTCTATACTTTCTACCGCATTTATAGCAAAATTCATATCCACATTTACATTTCATATGATTACATCCCTAATATCATATATTTTTATACTTTTGACTTTAATATCCATGCTCCACAATTTGAACATTATTTACAACTGAGATTTTCAATTAATTTTTTGAATTCTCTTTCATTATTCTATTGATATTAAAAATAAATTGATTTTTACTTCGATATTCTTAGATTTTTAGAATTCTTCACATGTGAATTATGGATGGGCATCTGATTTACATCTGAGACAATATTTTTTATCACAAAATTCACACCAAAATAAAGGTTATTCTCTTTAATTGACAATAAAAATATTTTGACATCCTAATGTTGGACAACAAGAGAATTTATCTGGATAACCAATAACTAAAGCTTCTAATTATGCACTAAAATAGATGTTAATTTATTAATATGTATATCCTAATTTTGGTAAGAGTGAAGCTGATAATTTTTCTTCTATTAATTTATATAATAATTTAATATTACTGCAATGTAAAGATGGGCAACGAAGCTCTTGATATCGCTCTTTTAAATTTTATTCAATATATTAGTTGATACAATTTTTGTGGAAGGTATCTCCACAATTTGTTCTGAATATTTCATCATTTTATGTTAATTAATCTAAACAAATTTGACAATTAATTTTAACAGAATAGAATCTTTTAATAGGTAAACCTGTCTTGTCACGAACATTTTTTTGATTTACAACTTAATCATCAATTTAATTATTTTGATTGTTCATGTATTTATAGTAGTGTTATATTAATTGTTTTAATTAATAGAAATTGGATGAATACAAATTATTATAAATGTTAATAAAAGAAAAATATAACAATCAATACAAATTATTTAAGATAACAAATATATATAATTAGTAAGAATCAAGTAATTAATAAATTATTAAATAACAAGTAAAGCATCAAGAAGATGTTTCTGGACCTTGTATTTAATTTTTGCTGTTCAAAACGGTAGAGAGATGAAAAGGATACAAAATCACAAAATAGTAATAAAAGTTAAGAGGAACAATTTTTAGAACAAAGAAGAATTGAGTTGGATATTGGTAAAACTGCAATGAATTAACAATTAAGTAGCATAAATTATTAAGTTTTTTTAAGAATCTAAGCCAGCATCATCAATTGGATCACCTACAGATAACTATCTCTAATTAAATGAAGAAAAATAATAAAAAAAGAGTAGTTTTGAAGAAGACAATATATAAGAGAATTAATTTGAATATTAAATAGAGGATAGTAATAAAGGAAATCATTATCAAGTGAATAATAATTAAGTCAAGCGGTATTTATTAAATAAATTTTATTGCTAATAGTTCTAAATCTCAAGAGAAGATAGAAAAAGGATTGAAAAAAAAGATAGGTAAAACAAAGGAGAAACAAGAAGGAGATAAAAGGGTTGTAAAGATTTGGTAACCTGAGGAAGATTAAAGACTGAGAAAGTTATACTAAGAATATTAGGGAAATTGGAGTAAAATAATTCAATTTATGCCTGAACGAAATATATCATAATGTTCTTAGAGATGGAGAAGGATAAATCCTATTTAAGTTATTGTTGAGATGATAATTTTTAGAATAAATAAAAGTGGACCTAGGAAGAGGATTCAAAGTTGGTTTAACTTGTTGCAGAAGAAGGAAAGAATTGGACTAAATTGGCCAGACATTTTTAAGGGAGAACAGGAAAATAAATAAGAGAAAGATATCTTAATAAATTAGATCCTGCTCTTAATTTTGTACCTTGGACAGAATAAGAAGATTAAGAGATAGTCAAATATTATAATTAATATGGTGCAAAATGGAGTGTTGTTGCTTCTCATTTATAGGGAAGATCTGTATAATTAATTAAATTATGTAGGAAAATATGGTGAAAAATAGATTTTATTCACATATTTAAAAACATTTGTTAGGTCGATAAAATAAATATCAAATTGTTTATAATTCTGGTCACATTCAATAGAATGGCACTTAATAAATGTAAGTAGGAAATCAAAATATGGATGTTGAATATTCTGATACTTCAAATAGTGAATAAAAATTAGTGCATTCAGAAAATTATTCAGTAAATACTTATACTATTTATTCTATAGTCCTCTATGGGATCAAGTACATTTACTTTTTCTTATTATGAAGATGATGATTTTAGTGGTTAAGATATAATATATGATAATTAATTTGAATAGGATTTCGATGAAAAAGCAAGAGTTTATTGAATAAGTTATTTTTATGCAAAAAATATATATCAATTTGTTAAATTTCTTATATTATAATCTTATTAATTTACAAATATCAATTTTACCTTCTTTTAATAGAATTTGATATTCTATGATTCTTAAAACAATTAGACTTATTTGAATAAATGGAATAAATTAATTCAATTATTTTAATAAATAAATAGTGAAAAGATAATTTTAATTTAAAATTTTGAAATCAATTTACATAGAACTATTAAGTAAGCCTGCAAGTTTTTAGAAAAAATATCTAATTGTTCATTATTATTAATATAATATAGCAAAATAAAATGTTAAAATAAAATATATATTTAATCATATTAATTTAATTTATTCGTTAATGGGAGCTGATCAAAGTAATACCAATGAAATGAAAACATAATAATAATACCAAATGTTTTTACTGTAATATTCAAAGGAAAGAGAATCAGAACACAACTAATTTGGATTGGTGAAGTTGTATAATCATAATTAAGTAATTCATCTGTTATAATTAGAATAATACTATGATTTGTATTAAGAAGTTATAAACAAAAAGTGATACTGAATTAACACAGATAAAAAACCATTTTAGAAAGAGATAAATATTTGTACATCCTAATTTAGTGCAATTACAGGCAGTTCGTACTTGCAATGAATAATCGATATGTTCAGATTCAAGTTTAGTGATGGTTGTTTCAGAGTATTTTCCAGATACTTTAGAAAGTGAATTAAAAAAGAGAAGGCAACCTCTTAAAAGATTTCCAGAATCTCATATATGGCTGTTGATTTAATAAATTGTAGATCCTTTATCATTTTTAGAAGAATAAAAGTAAGTTCATGGAGATATTCAACCATAAAATATTTATTTGGATGAGAGTGGAAGTGTTAAATTGGCAGAATATAATTATTTTCCTGGAGGTTAACATGGATTTTAGAAAATGTTATTAAGTATAGATAAAGCTTATCTTTCACCAATTTTATTAAATAATTATAGAAACATGAATTTTAAGGCATAACATAATGAATATAAAAGTGATGTATTTTCATTAGGAATGACATTAATGGGAGTTTTATTATTGGAAGAATCTTATGATTGTATGGATTTTCAGAATGGATGTATAATAGAAAATTTAATTGATTAAAAATTATAAAGAATAAAGAGATCAGGATATTCATAATTATTAATAAATTTTGTTAGAGAATTATTGTAAATTGAAGAAAATGTAAGACCTAGTTGGAATGATTTAAAATAAGTGATAGATCAATTTCGAGATAAGATTTGTAATTTGATTCCATTTTTTTAAGATAAACGTCAAATGTCACCAACAAAGGTTATTTATTAATAGAGTTATGTACCTCAATAATAAATATTGAGTTCTCCTCCTTAATCTAAGATATTAAGTTCACCAAGATAACCATAGATATTATATTAGACATATCATCAACCATAAACATTATATTAAACTAAACAAATACAAGGAATGCCAATGAAATAATCAATATATTATGAATCTGGTTAGAAATAAGTACCAATTAAGAAGATAACAAAATTAGAAGATACAGTTTCTAAATAAGCTCAACAACAAGGAGAGAGCAGTTTAGAGAAGACTACTATAAAATAATCTGAAACTAAATGATATTATTATATATTTATTTATGTATTACCTATCATATATATAGAAATTTAATAAATGAATAAATGGATGTAAATATCATTATAATAATAATGCACCAATTAATCCTACATCTTATACTTAAGGTTCAACAACATAATTTTGTGGAATTTGAACATAATTGTTGACTAAAGTTCTTAAACGTTAATCAATGATAGAATATAAGATCTTTCTATTCATTACACCTCCTCCTAAAACTATTTTTTCAATAGACAAAAGATATAATAAATTTTAACATGCTTCAGCTAAATAGAAACCAATTAATTGCCAAATTGGATGATCATCACTCACATTAGGCAATTCAGTAATAGGACAATTCAATCTTTTAGCAATAGCAACATTTGTGCATAATCCCTAATTATATAATATAATTGAATACTTCTAAACAATCTCCATGAAAAGCACAAACTCCTTAGAAATCTTTATCTTCCTTTTATTTAGAAAGTAAAATATGACCTCCTTCTGGATGTAACATTCCATGAACACATTATCCATTTACAATTAAACCGACGCCAACACCTGTTCCAATTGTTATATAAGCTAATGATTATCTTACATTATGATTGCCTATTATAAATATGAATTTTGATTGCCTAACATAAATTCTGCCATTGCACAAGCATTCACATCAGTGTCTATTGCAAATGGTTTGTTTAATTTTTATGATAAACAAGCAGCAATAGGGAAATTCTACCATTTAAGTTTTGGAGTAGAAGTTATTGATCCATATTACGGATCATCCTTATTTAAACATAATGGACCAAAAGAGGCTATTTAAATTGAATCAAACTCAAATTGCTCTAAATATTAAACCAAATCTATCACAGTCTCTTAAGGATCTCTAGTGTCAAATGTTTTTTTATTTGTTATCATCCATTTATTCTCTACTTTTTCACCTATTCCAACTTATATGAATGTTCCACCTATTTCCAATGCTGCTTTTGATTATTTCATTTAATTAACATGAATTATAACCATCACTAAATCGTAGAAAAATGGATGAAGCGATTTCGACAATGCTTAAACTTCTGCTATGGAAGTGATTCATAGATGATAACCATGGAATTACACAAGGGTAATGTACAACTACTGAGTGTACCATAAAATAAAAATATATTCAACACAAGAAAATATAGAGTAAAGATTACCTGTTATTGTTAGTTATATAACTTTTTACCTAAAACTTTATACATAGCATTATAAAGATTTGGGAATATCTATCTTTTAGGGATTTCCTTAATTATGTTGATTGATCCATCATTGTCACCATTTTATAGATGGATTACTATTTTCCCTGTTGGATTGAGTGTGATATTTTATGTCTTAATGGAATTTATACTTGACATACGTAGACAGAGTCATGATCATAAGATAAATATGTAAACAACATCGAGAGGTGCCAAAGATGGTTCTTTAGAAACTATTAAATGGAGTGATATCCAAATCGGTGATGTTCTCTATCTCATAAAAGGTGACATTGTACCTGCAGATATGATTTTATTAGACTCAGGATAAGTTAGAGATAGAGAAGCTATTTGTATGGTTGATACTTAATATTATGATGGTAAGTCTACTCTAACAAAAAAGAAATCATCATATTTGACTTAATTGATTGTTTTAAGAACTAGACTTAAGAATTAATATCCAGAATACAGAAAAATGTTGACTGGAAAACTTGAATATGAAGCTCCTAATGGATATACTTAAAGATTTCATGGAAGATTAAAATTAAAAAAGGATCCAAAAAATGAAGAGTTAACTATTGATAATTTCATTCCTAAAGGTACTAAAATCAAATAGACATCTTGGTTATTTGGTTTAGTTGTCTATGTTGGTGAAAATACTAAAACTATGTAAAGTAGTCATTATAATGCCTAAAAACATAGTTTTGATGAAAAATAATGTAACTTTTATTCATTTCTTATGGCTTGTTTATCACTCTTTTTTACATTAATATCCATCATTGTACTATTAGCCAGATCTGATGAAGATAATTATGCATTACTAATTGATGACTATACTACTAATGGTATGAAAGTTTTCTAATTGGCTATTTTATATGCATAACTAATTCCATCAACTCTATATTTATTATTAGATTTTGTAAATTTTATTTCGTTATTTAAATATGAGATTAATTTAATAGAAGATAATATCATTAAATATGTGAAAATTAATACATCAAATAATCTTAGTGATTTAGGACATGTTGATTATATGCTTATAGACAAAACAGGTACTTTGACTACGTCTTATTATAAATTGGATAATTTATTATTTGGTTCTTTATCTTTTACATTGAATTATGATTAATTGCAAACAACTTTAAATTAAAAATCTGTTAAACATGAAGATAATGATGATCCAATTAAATTTGCTAGTATCAATGATAATAATGAATATTTAATTCCATTTGAATATGATAAAAAAAGTAGTCATACAGATGTTTAACCAAGCGGTAAGTTACTCTTAAAAAGTGTTAAAACTTCTAATAACAATCCAATATTTAGTTAGATTACTGCTGTACCTTAAAATAAGAGAATGACAATGTTAAACATGATGGAAAATTCAGTTTAATAACCTTTGCCTGATTATTTATAAACTAAAATATTTTTACCATAACCAAAAGCAAGAAATGGACCTGGAAATAATAATGATGAGTTTATTTAATTAGTCAATCAATTAAGAAGTAGTTCACCATAAAAGGAATATTTATAAACTGAAGATATAAATACATTGTATTATGATGCTTTTTTGAAATGTTTGATGTTATGTCATGAGGCTAGATTAGTATTTGGTGCAGATTCTATTACATATGAATCATTTTCAAAGAATGAAGAGATTTCATTAACATTTGCTCGTTCTTGTGGTTATTCATTAGAAAATTTTAATAAATTTGATAGTCCAGATATGTATTTATGTAAGGTGAGAGGAAATTCAACATGGTATTAGGTTTTAGGATTGAATTTATTTACATACACAAGAAATTTGAATTCAGTTGTAATTTAGGCACCAATGACAATGGATTTAGAATTGAAATAAAAATATGAAGCATTAAATTAATTATGTGGAGAGGGATCTAAAAATAATTCATTGTTAATTTGCAAAGGAGATTATGAAGCAATAAAAAGCAAATTATAATTAAATCATAAAGAAAGAGAAGAATTAGACTCTTATATTTAACATTATAAATAGAGAGGGATTAGAATGATAATTTATGCAACAAGAGTATTGAGTGAGAGAGAAACTGAGAGTTATAAATAATAATTTAATTTATTACATAGCTCTTTAACAAATCAAGATATATTACTTGAGTAATTAGCATTAGAATATGAAAAAGAGTTAAACATATTGGGTATGATAGGATTTAAAGAAGAATTAAAAAATGATGCTTTAGATTTTATAAAAACAGTTAAGGATTGTAATATTCATATTTGGTTATTGAGTGGAGATTAGGAAGTATAAACAATAAGTTGTGCATAATCTTTAGAAATGACAGAGACATCTAAATATTTAAGGATTGTAGCAACTGATAAGGAATAGATATGGTTGTAAATTAATACAGCAATTGGATAGATTTAGAGTGAATTATAAAAGATATAAGAGAAATAATAAGATAAACATATTAATGAAAATATATTAAATAGAAGTATGATAAAATCAAGTGTTACACTTTTTGAAGGTGCTTCTTTTTAATAAGTGCTACAATTTGTTTTAGTTGTAAATGGTTATTCTCTGTCATTGATAAGGGAATCTGCAGATTTAATGAGTCATTTTAGATTCTTATCTTGTGTATGTAAGAATGTAATAGGATTTAATATGAATCCTTAATAAAAGGAATTAGCATGTATGATTATTCGTAATTACTTTCCAAATAATCCAACTGTACTTGGAGTCGGAGATGGATATAATGATGCATTAATGATGCAAGCTGCTAATATCAGTATAGAAATAATAAATAGTAAAAGAAATCACATTTATCCTTAAGTTAATGCTGGAGATATTAGTGTTAATACACTAAAAGAAATTAAAGTATTACTCTTATAAAAATGTAAATTACATAGTGAACGAGTATCATCTATGATAATTTATTTATTTTATTGTGCTGGCTTTTTAGGAATGACACTTTTCTTTTTTAATTGGTTTTGTTAATTTACAGCTACATCATTACATGATTCAATGACAGTATTTTTATATATTTTTCTATATTCTACTCCTAATGCTTTAGTAATTGGATTAGCTGATAAATAAACTGACCCTATTGTTAATGCAAGATTTCCTGCTTTTTACATTGATGGATAAATTAAAACACGTAGATTCTGGTTTTTTTATTTAATTGAAGGTTTTCTAGAGTCATTCATTTGTGCTGCTTATATATTTTATTGTTGTACTTACATGGTCAATTATGCATGGACAAATGATGGCTATTAATCTGATATTTAAATGGTAGCAACATCTATTATATATTTACTTATTACTGTATCTAGTTTTAAAGTATTATTTAGACTTATTTAAAATAATGTCAATTTTGTGGTGGTAACTTTTTTATTAACATTTGGTTTATTGGTTGGATTTGTTTTTATTAATTATAGAGGAAATTTTAGTAATTTTGATTATTAGGAATTGACTTATTAATTATTTACAAGATTCAATAGCATAGTTGCTATAATATTTGGTCTTATTGGTTGTTATTTTATCAATTACTTTTTACATGATTTTATAAAATTGATTTATTTTCCAAATGCTTATTAATAGTTTGCATTTTAGAATAAAAGTGGTCAAGAATGGGAAATAATATCTAACAAAGAGATTATACAACAATGTGTTGAGCAACATGTGTAAATATTATTATTTATTAAATAATAGTAATGTTTCATCAATTATTTAGAGAGTGTTCATTGATTGTTCAGCTACTTCCCCTTATATTTAAGAAATGTTGAATCCTGGGGATACGAAGGTAACAGAAATGAAATTAAAACCTTTAACACTAGAAATGAAAGAATTAGTTTTGGAATAAAAGTTCTTAGCTCATAAATTAAATCAATCATTAAAACATTTGAGACTATTTTTATGCATTTTGTTATTATACTTTATTGCATACTGTTTGACAGATTTCTTTTTGAGTGATTTAAGAGTGTTTACAGGAGCTTATTATTTAGTTGTATTTGGAATAATGTTTATCATAACACTGTTTTCTTGTAGTTTGAAAATGGAAGAATAATATTATACATATTCACACATGATTATACTGATAATATTTGCTATAAAAGTAGCAATAGATTGGTTATCAGACGATCTAACTATAACATTATCAGCCACTTTAGTGATATAGTTTAGTACATTTAATTCAATGAATATGAGTGTGATACCAATAATGTTATACAACATATGTTATTTGATTTAATTAATAGTAAGAATATTAATCGTTGTTATTTCAAAAGATCTGAGTACTTCAAATGGTACCTATTCTTAGAGTAGAGTATCTGTATATGCAGCTAGTACTCAAATTTTATTGGTTGTTAGTATTACGATAAGATTTTTATTCAGTTATTATAAATCTATAAAGCATAGAAGAAATGATTATTTGGCAAAATATTCAATAGAATAAGATAATGTAGCTGCTTAGGATATTTTAAGTATTTTAGTACCTAGATTTGTAAGACAATAAATATCTACAGGAATATATTCAATGTAATAGGCTTAAGATGATGTTTCTATATTGTTCGCTTATATATGTGATTTTGATACAATAATGAAGGAAGAAGGGAAGAATGTCGTATTAATGTTGGATTCATTGTTTAGATTATATGATAATTTATGTATTTAACATGGAGTATAAAAAATTGAAACTGTGGGATATACTTATATGGCAGCAACAGGGATTAAGGCATGTGAATAAAATATGACTTCTCATGTAACAAGAATAGAAAAAACTATGAGATTAGTTAATATGGCTTTTGATATGATGTAATAGGTTTAAGGTAGAAAGTATGGAAAAGGTAATTAAATAGAAATGAAAATTGGAATTCATGTTGGACGTGTTATTGCAGGTGTTATTGGTCATCATAAACCTTAATTTTCATTAATTGGAGATCCTGTTAATTAGACAAGTCGTGTTGGTTCTACTGGAGATACTGGAGCAATTACACTTAGTGAATAGGCTTTTAAATAGGCTAGACATGGAATTAAATATTATTAGAAGAAATAGAAGGAAGCAAAGGGTTTAGGAATTATAGATACATATTAAGTATTCAAAACTAAACCAATTGGTTATTAAATACCAAAGGCATTTTAATTATGGTAGAATTGCACAAAAGTTGTTGTTAAAGATTTAAGATAACATAGAAGCTCACGTTAAATAGAAACAAAAAAGAAAGGTTAATTCTTATCCTAACTTCACCAATCCATTAACCAAGATAATAATATGAAATAATCAAATAAACTTGATGTCTCTCCTAAAGGACAGTAGACAGTTCAATTTTTATTACCTTAAGGTTCTGCTTAAGAGGAAAATAGGTCTAGATTAACTATTCAACAACAATAATCAGAATAAGTGGTAACAGAAGATTCAGTTTTGATAACTAATGAATAAGAAGAAAAAGAACTAGAATTAATCAAACCAAATGTTATTTTAGATATACCAGAAAATGAAATTAAATAAAACTTCAATTAAATTCTTAAAGAGCAAAACGTAGATGAATCTAGAGTGGGAATGATATTTTTATGGATCACTTATTTTGTAATTACCCTTTTATCAATAATAGTTCGTAAATTATTCGATCACGATTTGTTAATCTTTGTTTTGAGAGTATTAATAAAATTATAATTAGGCCATCTTCCTCATAATATCATTCGTACTATTTCCAATTCTGTCAAAAGCCTATAGAAATCGAATAGTAAATGCTATGTATTACATTTTATTAATATATGCAATCTTCACAGTACTATTTTAGGCATATTTAACTAATAATCAAGAAGTAGCAATAATTTGTTTATTGGAAATCTTATACATAATGATTGTGTCTTGTTAAATGAAAATGTTTTCTTTTCAATAAATGATATTATACATGATGATAATGATTGGATTATTTTTAGGGTTTTACATTTCAACTGATTTGATAACACATTATGCAATATTTTATATATGTTGCTGTATGTTGATATTATTGTTAGGATATTATTTAGCAATGAGTGAATAAATTTAGATGTTTAATAACTTATAAATAAATGAAGAAAAGAAAGTGAAATAAATAAATTTAGTGAGTCAATTATTACCAATGCATTCATATTTAAAAATGAAGAATAGTTCTATATATGATAAAAGTGATTTTATAGATGAATTTGATGATGTGACTTTATTATTTGCTGATATAAAAGGTTTTACTGAATACTCACATACTTAAACTCCTGAAGGTGTAGTAACAATGTTGAGAAATCTCTTTACAGAATTTGATAAACTTTGTTAAAGATATAATGTTTATAAAATGTATACAATTGGTGATTGTTATGTTGTAATGGGTTTTACAAACAGTGCTAAAAGAAATGTATAATTTTATATTCATAAATATTTTTAGCCTATATAAGAAGCAATTAATACAGTAAAAATGGGATTCTAGATGGTTGACATAATCATGTAAGTAAGATAGAAAATAAAATTTGATAAATTGAATATGAGAATTGGTATACATACTGGATAAGTTACTGGAGGTATAATAGGAACTGATATTGTGAGATATGATATTTATGGAAAAGATGTTTCAATTGCTAATAAGATGGAAAGTAGCGGAGTTGAAGGAAGAGTATAAGTTTCAGAAACCACTAAATTAATGATTGAACGAGCTGAAAAACATGCTTTCAACTTTAAATTTCATCATGTATATTATTAATCTCTAATCTATTTAGGATGTTGAATTGAATAAATTTAATATGAATATTAAAGGATTCCTAGTAGAATGGGATAAAAGAAGAGAAGAAGCTAGTCTAGATTAATACAAATCACCAAGTCGCCATTAATGATACAAATTGTTAAACTTAAAATGTAATTTATTTTACATAATTAATTGTATACAATCTTTTTTTAAAATCAATCAGCTCTCCTTATACTTTCACTTGTGTATTTTTCACCCTTTCCTTTTGTTGAAACTCTTGCTTAAGCCTTTCTTGCAAGTAATTATTTTCTATCTTCATTTAAATATGGTTTTGTAATAATGCATTATGATGCACAAATTGGGATTTAGTATGGCATTCCTATTCTAATTATTAATATATCTACCATTTGCTTTAGTTCTTGTCAATTTCTCTATCTAAATTGTCCATCTCTTTCTATAAACTGATGATACCTTTCCCTTAGTTCCCTTATGAGTCCCTTTTTCATGATTATTATATTTCATACCTCTAACAACTGTCACCTCATCATCTTTTCTTATTGGTAATGCTCGAACATTATATTTCTTTCTTAAATCTTTTGATAAATGGGCACTCATTAATTTATATCTTATATTTGAGGGAGCACCAAGATGACCACTTCTTCCCTTTCTTCTTTGACTTGATACTTCTATATGAGTTTTCATCTTAAAAAAATTTAATTTAAAAATTTATTTAATCTTATATCATTTATTTATATATTCTTTTCATAAATCAATTATTTTTATACTCACTTCTCTATATATCAAATTATTCATTACAATGTCTTGCTCGTCTAAACTTATATCAAAAAGAATCCATAAAATAAATGTCTTTGTCAACTCAAAGGATTTTCTATATAAAACAAAGACGTTTTGTCTGTTTATAGTTAGCAAATTAACAAAATTCATTCCAAGTAATATTATTATTTTTTATAAATACAAAATATGTATGATAGTCTATTATTATTAAATCATTTATCATTTTCTTCCTCTTATTCCTTTTATTAGATTAAAATATCATACTTTCTTCCATATAAATATTCCTAATATTGTGGTAATCATAAGGCTCAAAGCAAAAACCTAATCTCGTATAAAAAATTCCAATCCAACTAGAATAGTTAAGCTCAAACCTTAACATAATTAAATTGGCATAAAATCTACAACAAACTGAGTTTATTTAAATAATAGATACATAATTATAACTGCTAGCAAAAGTAAATAAACCTAATCCATTACTAAATATTGTCAAAATGCAAGAAATCAATATAAAATAATGGGATTAAATTTGAATACTTGTCATCAATGCAACATTAACGATAACACTCATAAACAAACTCAATTTATATAGTTATAATTAAGGAACTTTATAAAATAATTTACAGGGAATATAATTAGCCAAAATCATTGCTAATCCAAAAATAAATTAATAAAATGGCATATTTTAATAGATTATTCCATTATTCTCAATATTTAAACGATTTAAAAAGAACACTAACATCATGGTACTACTTGAATACATCATGATCTAAATGATCTTGAAAGTCTTTTAATCATCAAAATGAATCGATATATTATCTACTATTAATTACTTTTCCTGATACATCGCTATTACTTCTTCTATGTTAGATTCTTTAAACATTTAAATTAAGAATTTTTAAGCCTGAATAGAAGTGCAAGTTTATAAATCATCATAATTGAAATATCGATGCAAATTAATTTATCTGATAGCCAAAAATATAATAGGAAATGAAATTAATAAATTCCAAAGTACCTGATCATCATAATTCTTCAATTTATTAAGCATTTAATTTTTAGGATAACCCTATGCCATAAGTCCCTAAATTGCCCATCCAATTCCAAAAGCAACATATTAATACTAACATAAATATTAACCTAAATTTTTAACTATTCATGATATTATTATATTATATTACCATTCAATTAATTTGGAAATCGTGTATTAATATAAAGTTCTATAGGTCTCATCATTGTTTTAAAATAGATATTACTGTATTTAATGTTTAGATTTATCAAAGCTCCAATAAACACTCTTATAATTAAAGTTCCTTCCCTAAAAGGCAGTAACCATTATAAGATTAGAGCTATTATAAACATAATTTCGCATTTAGTTATTATTAATCTCAAATTACCTTTCATTTAAATTGCACATGCAACTAGATAGCCACTATGTATATTTATATATAGAACATTAGAAAGGCAACATTCAACCAATTGAAATCAATTGTATATTGAAACTTAGTTTGATTTATTTTCAGCCATGATGGTTCTGCTGCACTTGACATTGTCATGAAATAGCCTAAAAATGAGTAAGGAACAAAACAAATAAAAGTGAAATAGTAGATTTATTTTTTTACCTGAAATATTTAAGATTCTTCTTTCATTATTAATTATTATTGTAAGAATAATTGTTTATTATTTAAAATGAGAGTTGAAGCATAATTTGAATATAAGAAAGAAGGAGTTTAAATTAATTATTATTAATGTTTATATTAAACTAATTCATGCTCCAAAGCCATAAAGAGTTCTGCCTTATCTCTTTAATGAGTAGACAACATCCATTACGGTAACAGTCTTTCTTCTAGCATGTTCTGTATAGGTAATGGCATCTCTAACAACATTTTCTAAGAAGCTCTTCAAGACATTTCTTGAGTCATCATAAAGGAATGATGAAATTCTTTTTACTCCTCCTCTTCTTGCTAATCTTCTGATTGCTGGTTTTGTAATTCCTTCAATGGATGCTTTGTTTGGTTTTCTTGCGTGTCTCTTTGCACTAACTTTGCCTATTCCTTTGCCTGATTTTCCTGCCATTTTTATTGATTTGAATTAATGAAAATAAAAAAAGTAGGTTGTATATTGTAATATTAATCCGAATAATTGATAAATCAACCAATCATAATTTTTGTTTAGAAAAGTTAATTTATATAGGTCTAAATATATATTAAAACATATAATTACTTTCCATCTAATTCTAATCCATTCATATTTGCTAAAACTGTCAATGCCACTTCAGTAGTAGCATATTTTAGAATACACAAATATTTATTACCGGTAGTTAGAATTCTAAATATAAGTATTATAATATATACTTCAATGCTTTGATTTATCCAAAATCCTGCATATATTATGACATGATCGAATTTTGACAAGAGTTTCTAGTAAGATTAGAAACTTAGATTGTATCACATGGTGGAGCAAGAGTATAAGTGGAATCAGGTTTAATACGATGAGTTTCTTCTCCTCCCTAAAAATATTCTTCTTAGGTTTTAATATCTGAAGCTATTTCACCTGGTTTTGTAGGTTATGTTTTTAAGGATATTTCCTCATAATTTGAAAAAAAGATCTAATTAAAATAATTCTATACTTTGATTTATTATCCATAAAACATTATATCATTAAGAGCTTCTTTTGCAATTGCTGCATGATCTTACGTTACATATTAAATCAGACAACTTGATCTCTCTTTTAAATATATCATTTTATCTATATTCCCATAAATACTAAATATATTATAAAGCATAGTAGATGTAACAACTTTTTTGTCAAACCATCTTGCATAAATAACTTTAGATTTACGTAGTGCTAAAATCAATAAATAATTATACTTTTAAAAAATAAAGGATTCACATATTCTTCTAATTTTTCTTATTATTATTGTAGATTCTAACTTTTTGAAGTACTTTAAGTATTTTATCTTTATATCTTTCCTTTACTTATTAATTAATCAATATTATCAACACTTCTAGATGATTATTCAATAGTATTTTTTTATGTTTATTTTTCAACTTGACGTGCTACTACTTAATTATCATTTTTATCAAAGAGCATATCTTGATTTAATTTACTAAAAATCTTTTATTTTTCTCCTTCAGAAAACTCTTAATTTTAATCAACAAATTTGAATAATTCATTATTGATTTCATAATCATCATTTTCAACATCATTATCAAATTATAATAATTCTTCCTCATATTCTTATAAATTATCATCTTCTCCTTCTGAATCTCTTAAACCTAATCCGTTAAAATTAAGATCTTCTGCTTTAGTAACACTTTTTCCTTCACTCAAGTACATTTTTTAAACCTAGATTTAATCAATAAGTTTATCAGAACTATGAAACATAACATCCTTAGTAATATCAGTTTCATGATAACTTTAAATAAATTCAATTTAATCTCCATTTATAGTCTTTTTATCATTTGGAAGTGTTAATTTTTTTCTATTTTATTTTCCATTATTACTTGATTATACACTAACAGATTTTTAATCATCAAGTTAATTGTATTCTTATAGGAAATTTTAATAATTGTCTGTAAGATTAGAAAATTTCAATTAAAAATCGTAAATGTCTTTTAAAATTGACTATTACTTTTCAATTTAGTTTTATAGATCAGTTGTTTATTGTAAAGGTGTAACAAAACCTTCTGCACAAACCTATTGTAATTATCCCATTAAGGAATTGATTTATTAGATTTATTAAGACATTTGATGTTAAAATTACATTTGGGATTATAAGAATTAGAAGTTTTATTAAGGAGGAATGGGATTACTACTTTTTATGGATGAAGAAGATTAAATCACTTCATTAGGAGGAGAAACTTCTTTTTTTCTTAACTATGTGTAATCTACTAATTAATAACGCTATACCTACACCCCCAGTATTATTTTCTTAGAATGTAATGTAAGTTAATTTGCTTGCATATACATTCATTAATAATGTATTATCATCACAAAAGAACTTATCATTCATTTATGATCTAGCTCTAAGGGCTGATTCTGGATTATCAAACTCTACAAAGGTTTTCCAAGTGAGCGATCTCTCAAAGATGAGCATCTAAACAATCATTTAATACAACTTACTCTCTATATGGTACCAAAAGGGCTAAAAACTTTAAAATATTTATCATGACTCAAGGTTTTATTAGCCTTATTAGTTATAACAACCAAAATCACATTAGTACGAGGAGGATCAGAGTTTCTTTCCATTTAAGAATTCATAATTAGATTTAGAGAAATTTTATATTTATTTATCATTACATCAAATATTAATTCTAAATGTATACCCTATTTTAATAATTTTTTATTGTATCTTATTCTCCATATATGTTATATATTTCAATATCTTTATAAAATAACTATCTTTCTTACCTTTCTACACATCCTCTTTATTTTCAACTGCTTTTCCACTCTCTCTCTTTTCAAAATCTAAGAAAACTATCTAATATACCAATATTCAAATAATAATAATTTTAGACTCGATAAAAGAAAATACTAACACTCAATTAGCCTTCATAATCCTTTCCAAATTACATCTTGCTTAAATTAAACATTAATCTAATTAATCAAGTGATTATTACATGTAACTTTAATTCTATTATACAATCTTCTGTTCTCATAACTTTCTAATAAAAATATTACACAAATGTATTTTTCCTTTTTTTTATCTTGAGTCAATCAATTCTTTATCCATAGCTAGTAGTCTTACTTATTATTTATTATACTTTCTAATCCATTTTCAAATATTTTATTCTAAAAAATTTATCAATTTTTCTATATATTCTTGCCACAACCCATTTTTTTGTTAATCAAATTAGTTTGATAATTTAAAAAAATTGCTTCATTTATTCCTAAAAAAAATCTACCAAATTATTTCCCTTCTCAATTTGTAAAATGTACTTATAATCACTTTATCTTATTGATATTGAAAAAAATCTTATAAATTTAACAATCTTTTTCTTTATTTTTTCATTCTTTTATTTTACTAATTAAATTTAAATTGAAAATACAATTAATAAATAATAATACCTTGATTAGAATCCTAATAATTTTTCACTCATTCGCATCTTTAAATGATATATTTCTTATAATTTACTATAAATTACAAGTTAATTATTTATTCATCAATCTTACAAACTTCTTATAGATAAATAATAAAACTACCTAAAGCTGTCTTTAACCATAAGTTTCTTCATCTCATCCAAAAATATCAGATATTTCAAAAATCTAAAACTTATTTAAATTTTAATTGATTTGGGATGATAACATCTTCATGTATTTTACTTATCAACATCCTTATATATTCTTGTCACTAATATATATTCTAAATTATATATGTTAAATGTTTTTGCTTTTCTCCTCTAAATGCATTAATTGGTACAACAGCTTAATTAAATAAGGAATATGAATTAAAATCATATAAAAAAGTGAATCGATAAATTCATCAATTCGATTCTTTTAAAATTATAAGGATAATTTATATGTTCTAATAAATTAAAAATGAATGAGCTTAATTAATTATTATAAAAGATCTATATATTTAAAATAATTCTAGAAGTTATTTTTACTCAACACAATACTTTATTTAAATATTATTTGATTTAAGTCTATACCTTAATATTTTGAGTATTTAAAACTCAAAATTAACTAAAAAGATTACATTTATTCTAAAAACAAAGATATTGGTGAATAAATAATTTGCGATTTCAATAATTTTATTTTTTAATTTATAGTATTATTATTTATATATAGATGAATTTTACATCATCATCTAATAATAATGAGGTTTTAGCATTTAATAATAGACAGAAAATCTTAATGATTTTTTTTATAAATTATTTAATTAATATATGAGTGAATAATTGACTCAGAATAGCAATTACCCATTTTATGACTATTGTTTTGGAGGGACACAACAAAACTTTTTGAAGTGTACTAATTGTATTATCTTGGGTGTTATTTATCTTATATTGCTTTTTATTTTGATTTTATAACTAGAGAGAAGGTATCAAACAGGAACTAAGAAATTATCAAAAAAGTGCATCATTTTGTACATGATTATGACAAACTTTTTAAGTAATCATGATAACCAATTCAAGTATTATTTGTAGAATCGTTCATCATAAGCAACAAATACATGACATAATTAGAACCTTACTTCAGAACTATGGTGTTCATCTTTTTTTACTATTATATTAGTCTAAAATTAAGTAAACTATCAACCAACAGAAAAAGAGCATAGAAATAATTCCGAAGCATTGCTTTGTTCTTATTTGTCATAGTCCTAATTGGTTTAATATTTGTACTTATAGAATTAATAAAGGAAGATGAGGTTTTTTATGAATGTTAATGTAAAATATATAACTAATCTAAGTTAAATATAGTAAGATTTCAAGAATAGCAGGAGGATGTGTCACAGCAATATTAGTTATCTTTAGTATGAAGTTATAAAATAAGATGGATGATAAAGTTTAACCACTTTACAAAGATCTTCCACATTTATAAATGAAGACATTTTAAAATAATGAAACTTAAAGAGAAGACTTAAGAATACTTATTGTTATGTATATTGCTTCCTAATTTTTAACAATATTCTAAATGATTTACTTTTTTGTAAAAGAATAAATCAATGCTGATTTACAATTTCCAAATTGTACTCCTTGTTAAATGATTCCTTGTCTCAAAATGTCAGTCAATAATACAATTGCATTTGAACTCTTCTTAAGATTATCTTTTTTAACAATTATAATCGTTTTACCATATCTGGCTTTAATATCCTTTTTCTGGGTCAATTCAAATTAATTGCATAATGATTATGTATTTAATTCATATAATAACAAAATAGCATAGAACTATCTCAAATGAAGAAGATATTTGGATTAATTTCTTTAAGAAAATGGGATATGAAAAATCCAAAATGTGTCTATCAGATATAACAGAATAATAAGAAAAATCTTCATCATTGGATGTTTCTAAATGATAACTAATTAATATAATTATCTAATTAATTATACTTATAAAATTTGCCTTTATTTTTAGATGGATCTTTTTGATATTTTATTACTTAATTATCTAAAATAAATTATCATTGTAGATTGAAGATTTAGAGTATCATTAAAATCAATTAGTTGGTTTATTCTTAACAAAGATTATACATTCTTAAATTCTTCAAATCTTCATTTCATTAATTCATAATACTCATTTACTCTTAGATATGATAATAACATCTTTGAATTAATTATACAAGTTTCTACATAAGAGTGAATTTATGGCTTTGTATACTTATTAAAGTTATGTAGTCATCAAATAAATTTAATTATTATTCAAATTTTCCTTTTTATGCCAAAATTTGATTCTAACCACTAATCCAAAATTATTCCGAAATCAAATATTTTTATTGACTAGAATATAATTTCCAAAATTTTATTCATTCATATTAGCATCTATTTATTTTGTTATAAAATAAGAGCTGATTTCAAATGATGTAAAATTAGTATTTTATAATTATTTAGATTTAATTAAAACAGATAAATAACTTAAAAATTTATTGATGATATACTGAAAAGAATATCTTAATTATCCTTCCTTTTTATTTATAACTAGGGATTTTAAATATAAAAATTTAGTAAATGAAGAATACTAAAATATTATAGGTACAATTTAATTTATTCTTTTTTCATCTATTAAAATCATAACTATATTCTATGATTATAAGTAACAGGATAATTGAGTGAGAAGTAGTGCAACTATTTTAATGGTTATTAATAACAAATATGATTTAATATTTTAAATATTCCTTGATATAAATATTTAACAAAAATACCATCTTATTTAATAAAATTATGATTGATTAATTGAGAATAGAAGTAGAATTTTTGAAAAAAAAGTAATTAAGTATTTTTCATCATGTAAATTAAAGTTTAGATTTTTAAGAAAATATGATATTTGTAATATGATAA